CGCTCACTCCAGAAATCAAGAGAGGAGGCACTCTCTTGTCACAACCTCGCTATGCAGCAAATGGCAGAACGAACTCATGGACAGAAGTATCACCCACAGAAGATAGGAGATAAGGTTTGGTTATCCAGAAAAAATCTAATCACGCAGTTACCATCACGGAAGCTTGCACCAAAACGATACAGCCCCTTCCCAATCACCACCGTTCTTCCCCTATCACATTCACACTCCAATTACTGCCACAATGGAAAGTTCACCCCACATTCCATACTTCAGAATTATCATCCTATCACGAGACAGTGGTTCATGGTCCGAACTTCCACAATCCACCCCCAGACGTCATTGATAACGAAGAAGAATACAAAATTGATGCAATCTTATCGCACAAAGGGAGGGGTAAATGAAGACACTATCTAGTGTCCTGGAAAGGATACTCTTCCACCAGCAATGAATGGATCCCAGAAGAAAACCTTAGCAATGCCACTGAAGTCCTTGCTGCATATAAAAGAACCCACCGACTGTAAATCCAGAAACCATGTCTCTTGAATGACTACACCTCTGCATTCAACAAATTGAAGAACTCACTGCTGCTATGAACACCATAACTGAAGGTATCAACCACCCATTGTCCTTGATTGACTACCAAACCGCAACCACTGCTGATCTTGTCGCCAACACATCCTCCCCAGTCGTCTCTCCACCTTCATCCAACTCTACCTTAACCAACAACTCTATCCTCACGGACTACTTCTCAATCATTGATCAAGTAGAAACCAGTGCCTTGTTCAAATCTGCTATCACATCCCAGCAATACGCTATCAAAATAGATCATCTCTTAGGAGAAAGAGGAGCGATATCTAGCAGGCTCATCATCCAAATCATCAGAGATGCTAGCCTCATCGAGCATACCACTAATCTTCTTGATGATGAACATCACAAGACCATCTTCTGCCATCTTCATATACGCATTCATAATACTGCAATCCATCTCTTGCCTGATGATACTAGAGAGGCTATCAGAGAAGCTATTCATATCGTCACAGAATGGATCGCTCTTGACCCAGTCACACATCCACCCTCTCCACATGTTGCTGTTCCAATCCCACCACCAATCCCTGCAGCAACTACCATTGAGCATCAGGATAACAATATCCCTCCTATTGCTGTACTTGACATACCAGCTTCTCCATCTCCTACCCCCATCACGCCCACTACACATCGATACCCTATCAGACGCCGATCCTCCCACATCGCCGCCAAGCGAGCTGCATCAGTTTCCCCACACAAAATGCACAAACAATCGAGGTCCCCCTCTCCCCCAGACCAGTTGGCCACCACCACTATCGTAAAAATGGCACCAGTTGATAATGTTGTATGTCATAACTGCCGCACTGCTGGACATCACCACAAGAACTGCCCTGCGTACTATTGTTGGGTCTGCAAAGAGTATGCACCTGGACACTTATCAATCTTTTGTAGAAATTTGAGAGGAGAAGCAGTCATTCCACTGGTTTGGACTGATCCCGGTTTCTATGAAGCTCTTGCTCATTGGGAGATTGAGCAGGATGCCATTTATCATGCCGCTGAGCTAGCTGATAGGTCGCTCCCTATCATTGAGGAGCAGAATGACTTACTGGACTCAAACTATGATGCCAACCCTACTTACTGGGCTAATCAGGATGACTGAAGTCGGTGACTTCATTCCTAAATGAGGGGTAATGTTACAGTTATGCCTGCCCCTATTCATTTTTCCCTTCTCTTGTGTATTACGTCATGACCATGCCGCCTTGTACCATCACTAGACCTGCCTTCCACTATATTTGTACTACATCACAATCGCTGTTGCCATCGCTAGATGACCACTCTTATCTTTGACTCATCCTTATCTCTGACTCATCACTGATGTATATGTACCTGCCCTAAAGCACTTACATTCTATATATACTCAGTCATGTACTTAGGAGATCTTTACTTTAATCTTACTAGGTTTTACCTGGAACTTCCTTTGCTTAAGACTCCCAATCTTAAGACATCTGAATCGATATTCAAGCCAGAGACACTCTCTTTGTCTTGCCTTACGAATCCTTGTATTTGCAAGGACTTGACTATAACATCAGCTGTCACTCTTATCGAGCTACTGTTGTTACGACTATCCTAGTCCATAACAAAACCAGGCTTGCGCAAAGCCTGCAGTAAGTAGTGAAGAGAAGGTGGGCACATCAACACCCATTGTGGTGATAAAGGCTCAATCGTTCTGGCTGTCATATAGTACCTGCCATGGGGTGTTCATGCAAGGATTTGGAAGTAGTTGGGGTCGGCAAAGATATAGATGATGAGGGTGCCGAGTGTCAATCCGGTCTTGTCATGCTACCTCACTCCCACCAATGATAGCAGCTGCTAGGACCCAAGCTCTTTCGTTGTCATCGAATTGAAGTTCAGCCTCATCCTCGTCAAGAAGCAGGTACCGGATTGCAAGATCATCATGATGGTCCATTAAGGGCTGGACTAAATCTATTGGACTGCGCGCACGGGGGATTATTCTAGTATAGGTTAACATATCAGCGGTATTGGTAATGCTTTTGAGACTCCGGTATATTCTATCCTGGATTATTTTGCCTACGGAAAGTCATCCAGTAGTACGTACTTGCGGATGTATGAATTATTGATGTGAAGAAACGCCTAACGTGATACATATGTAGATATGGCTAGTTATCGTAAATTGCATGTCGTCCGGCTGGATGCCTGCAGCCAGTAGGATGTCATAATACGGGGGCATAAAATCATGTGATGGGGTAATAGAAGCCACCCAAACTGCGAAGTCATTACCATCGCACAGCCTTGAGGTTTCTCAGTTCCCTCTGAACGTCTCTGATATCAGGTCGATTCCATTCGCCAACCCAATCGCTGTTTGTCCGAGTCTCTGAGGAAACTTTAGGCCTCGGAGCAATAGGTGGGCTCGTGAGGTCGACGGACATGCTGCGTCGCTTCCTGTTGGGCACGCCTTCAGAACGTAATTGAGCAGGCGGTCCATGTGCTGTGACTAATTCAGAAGGCACATTCTCGCCTAGATGCCGTGCAAGTTTTGCCATCCGCTTTCTCCGCAGTTCTGCCGCGTCGAAACTTGGCGTACGAGGCGTAGGGGGGAAGTAAGCGGAGGTTGCGCTAGCTGAGGAAGGTGTGGGCGGTAATGATGTAGAGTAATGGTCGGTGGGCGATACAGGGACGGCGTTCATGCGAAGGTACAATGGTCTGGGTTTATCTGCTGACTTTCTACCGCGCACGGGCAGGCCAGGTGGTATCACCGAGAAGGACTCCGTGCTCCGCATGCTGGAAGGTAGCGAGACCAGTGAGGTGGACGGGGAGTGGAAAGATGCTGTCGAAGCTGAGCTAAATGATGTTACAGAGGGGGAGTCTCTGTGGTAATGCATGAACACAGAGCCCTGGCGCTTCAGTGCTTTGTCCGTCACTGATTTTTTGTTACCCCCGATGGGGAGACGTGTGATAGGGACATCTGCCTCGAGGAGGTAGGGTGTGGTGCCCATGACTGCCCCCAATTTGCGCGCAGAACGTATGAGACGCATACGCTGTCGGGAGTCAAGAGTGTTTGTAGTGGGTGGGGGACATGGATATGTGATCGTCGAGATCGCGGTAGAAGACATTGCACAGTGCGAGATTAAAGAGTGGATAGGTCTTATTAGAAGCACACGGCGAGATTCACAAAGTCAAAGCAAAAGAGTACAGGAACGACTTGAAAGCACACAGTGCTTATCTAGGCTGATCTTGAAAGAAATCAAGTTGGGCACGAAGAAAATGAACTAGATTGAGAAGGTCGTTGATATAAGCCAAAAGACAATTGGAGCAATAAACCTCGTTACCTCCTCTCAATTGAACAATAAGTATTGAACATCACGCTGCCAACATGAGGCCAAGCGATTTAACAAAACAAGTATTGTTCCGTATTAGGTGACTGACATAAGCAGCGAATACAACACAGTGCGTTTCCAATCTCTGTATCACAATTGTACTTCGACTCAAATGTGACCGGTCGTCGGTTCTTTGTTCTGGCATTGGCAGAACTGTTTTATTTTGGACCTGGTTCGAACACAGTCTTCAAACTAAGAATCCCGCCGAACGAACACCCACCCGCCCCCCGGCCACCACGGTTTTACAGTTGGAGAGGTCAGTCAGCTGTGCTACTTAAGCTTTATAGCAATGCCATTGCTTCAAAGTGGTTTTTTAAAATGACGATGCTTCCGGTATGACTGGCCGCTGCGAGAACCGTGACTAGCGAGTGCGAGGTTGAGTGCATGGAGTCCGTTTCAAAGGGCGTTCTGTCTCCATGCGCCACCACAGAGTAACAACAATTTCCTGCGCGAGATATGGCGCAAGGAGGGCAAAATCAGTGCGGGTGGGTACACATGACAGACTGCCGTCGACACAGTGCAGAAGTAGGGGGGCATGATAGCACTCGGCAGGTTGTAAATTTCGAATATAAGTCATTCTGTGTTCGTTCTTCGTCTATTCTCTTTAAATGCCCATCTGTGCTAACAACTTTCTCTTCCTGCGCCTAGGTCGACCCTTTTCGTATTTGACCTCTATCACTGCCTACTCTTCATGCTCTTCCTACAGCCTGACCTCCCTGTCCGACTTATATACGACCACAATACTTTTTCGTGTGTTTTGCTTCGCTAGAATTTTTTTGGGTTCGGTTCAAGTGCAACCCCCCCCCCCCCCCCCCCCAAACCGAACCTGACCATTCCGAACCGTTCGCGAGAGCCCAGTTCTGGGTTCCATGGTTTCGTTCAACCGGATCGCGGCAGCACTACCATGTTGAAGTTGTCATGAATGCATGGATGGTGTCATGATGGTCACGATACGTCCACGAGGATTGTGCACAATTTCCAAGAGTGAAATCGGCAAAGTACAACTACACATACAGATATAGTAATGAAACGCGGTACAAGTTCTTTCTCAATTCTTAACACCTCTCGACAAAACGTGTTCTAATCATAGAATACCAGAGCCCTCACCTCGACGGATTCCCGAAGTGGCGTTCCTTCTGGAGTTTTCGGGTCTTGGAATCCAGTATGAGGGGTCAACCTTGCCACACTGCCATCTTGTATCGAGTCAAAGCTGAGACCCTTTCAGCACCACGGAAAACTTCCCCGGATTACTTCACTCGCCATTTGATAAGAACAAACTCTTCTGGGGTCATTGCCTTCATGTATTTCAGATCGACACTGCGGAAGTCGCATGGTGCAATCGGCCGATCTACAGCTGCATGCGGTATAGGACGCCAGAGGTTTACGATTTGGAAGCGTCTGCGAAGGAGGGAAAGAGCTTCTGTTGAAGGGAGGTGCCTATGAACACGAGCAATGGACGACGCAGTCGTTTGGTCCACATGAACCAAGGAGATTGGTTGAAGTTTCTGTGGGTTATCGTGTGCCTCGCCTGGGCGATGGCGACGAATATCTATGATATGAATTAAACATCAAGACGTCGTTTCAAATTAATGATCAACGTACGGTGATCGAAGATGACAATGCTGGTCGCTCCCGTAACCCTCTTGATGAAGTCGATACTCTCAGGATAGTATCCGTGCTCAATCTCATCATCATTCAAGAAGCTAATATGCTTCGCCGCTTCTCGCCCATACTGAAATCCTGCATTATCAAGCTCTCCTTTTCGCGCACGTCCTCAAGATGTATATCATGCGGCTCCTGGGTCCAGTTGCGGCCCGGCTTTGCCATGGTGCTATCTGTTGCGGTAAGGTTGAGAGCCGTCAACTGGAGCGACGAAGTAGTTGACGGTGCCGATGGTGTCAGAAGCCATAGTTAATCCGTCAATGCTGAATGTAGAGCGGAATGGAAGTGTCTATGATATCATGAGCAAGTCATATGCTACTTATGTGTCTTCAGGGGCCGAGGAAGCTGCTTGGTTTTCTCTAGGGCGTAGTTATCTTGACGCGGCGTGACATGCATATGATGAGACATTGACGCGGCACCGAGGAGCATTGACGGGGCCACTGACGCACCAGTACAAATCTTCCTATGTTCTACATTTGACTCCCACATCAAGTTGCACAGTTCATATGACCATTATTTCGTCATTTTATCCCTTATAAGGACACATACTACTAGCCACATCAGCCAATGACTATTTTCTTTCTCCCCTGCACATATTGAGTTGTGCTCTCCCTATCTCCGGGACTGCCTGGACGAAACACCCCGAAACGTGCGCGTGAATCCCCACGCCAAGGTGTTAACAACATGTCCAGTGTTGCGTCATCGTCGTCGTTGTCGTTAGAGGCACTTCCTGATGCAAAAGCCTGGGATTGGTGGTGGGCAACGCCCGCCAGCAAAGCATGACATTTATATAAGCTATCCCACGCTATAAACACACAGAGAAGTGAAACTCGATGCTATGTACCAAAGGAAAGACTTTTGTGTTTAGGTGTTCGTGGGCGAAATGTGACGGATTGATGTTATAAACAAGAGTATCAGAATACATTTTGCAATTTCACGTTTGTGAGCATATTTTAGCCTCAGTAATGGTTGGTTTTAGGCCCCAAGAGCACACAACAAAAAATCTATTTTGAAATTATTGTTGGCTGGGGGGAAATGAAAATATTCCTTGCTGTGCATGAACGCAAACGACAACAGGTGTGGTACATAGAGGTCTCGGATGAAAACAGCCCCTGTAAACAGTAAAAGGTCAGCCACAATTCGCGATTTTCCAAAAATGGGACTTACGGCTTAGTGTAGATATGCGACGCGCTCGCGTTCCTCCGAGGTTCTACATACTACGTGGAGTCAACTCTTGTTTTTAAAGACGTTATGATATTTTAAGTCTCACCATAATCTTCACCACCAAATGGCGTGTCAAGTACAGCCTGGCCCTTCCAAAAAAAGGTGCTCTAAAGTCAAGAATGAGCAACTTCGATGTGCCCGCGCGAAAACACAATGACACTCAAGAATTCATGAATGCCATGTTTACTGATGAAGATCATGCTCACTTACAACATTGAGCACGGAAAATTGATACAAGTGGAGTTGAGAGGCAGCAGCGGGGGGCACTGATTCAGCATAAGCTTGATTCTGCCGCTGCTGCCAAGAAGAAGGCTACAAAGAAGCAGGCATCTGATTCTGCCAAGGAAACTTATTTCGCAGGTGTTGCGCTGGTGCTCAATCAAAACCAACTCGTATGCTTGCTTGGTCCAGCTCTCGAGGATCAGATTGAGGTTTATCGCTGTCTAGGAGCAGAGAAGCATATTCCACTCAAATCACATCTCAAGAGCAAGTCACAGTGCCTTGAGTTGCTCAAGAAGCTTTCAGCTCGTCACTCAGCACGTTTACGAGGTGAATTGGTGACTCATGACAATGATCTCGACGACACAAATGATGACACTTTGGTGGATATTAATATGCTCCCTTGCAAATATTGCATATAACCTATACTTACTTGATCACATAATTCAGTGCTGCACATAGGATACTTTAGCATAATCTACACTAGTTTCCACCACAATATAATGCACAATAACTGCTTTGCCGTTGAGTACGTGCTCGGTTTCAAGAAAATGGACCATTTAGGGGTTTTTGGCTTATATAAGCGTCACGCTTTGTTGGCGGGCGTTGCCCACCACCACTGGGATGCATGGCCGTAGAACCACATTTACCCTAATTAACCGTTAAATCCATCAAATTTACAAAGTAAATTAGCGCTAATTTACATAAGTAGGTTAATTTGACCTCCCGGATAGCCTCTGCTAATTAGCCCTGTTAATCTGGCCTCAGACCAGATTTACAGGACACTAATTATCAAGCTCTCATCAATTCACTGATGAACCCCAACGGTATGTCAACGATTACAGGTCCCGAATGCAAATGATTCATGCCGTCCTGAATAGCTGCGAGAGAATCACATAAAATCCAACGTGTACTGCAGGAACAGCGTCGAGCAGCTAAACCACATTCGCGGATGCAAAGCGCGTCTGGCCATTAGCTCGGCAAAAAGCATACCCTCCCCGGAGCGACAGAAGCATGTAAAAGATCTGATGAAGCTTACCCAAGGAAAGCCAAGGATATCGTTCTAAAGCACGACGCAAGCTGGATTATCCAGACTGTTGTGAGATATAGTGGGCAAAAGGGACCAAGTCGCGAAGGAGCTCAAAGCAAGTACTCGAAAGTTTGTCCGGTCTATCTTCGCTCCTAAACCTTCTGTTGACGACAGTAGTTGTTCTTAGTGACCAAGTTAATCCGACTCTGTCCAGCACATCGAGCATCTATCTTGCTCGAATTCCAGTCCAATGTACTTGTCTACTGTTGCACCGGGAAACATCTGCGATTCCTTCGAGCTTTATGCAAACGCATACGAACGTTCAGTTCTTCTTCGCGACTTCTACGGCAAGGAGGTCGCTTTGTTCTCTCAAACGCAAGGTTCTGAACCTGAGAAGGTGAACGCTAGAAAGGGCTTTCCTGGGGTTCTTGAAGGCCTTGAGGGCGAACGAAGAAAAACGCGTACTGGAAGCACTGAAAGAAAATCTAACCACGATGTAAGCGTCTGAAAATGAACTTTGTGCACGCTGTAATCCTCCAATCGATGACGCTATTGACAGTTTTAACAATTCCGATAAAGATGTCCTAATCCATGCAATCGTGCATGCCGGATCCGAATGGTATGGATGGAGGAAGTCGCACAGCATTAATACGAGCCCTACAGTTAGGCCTCAGTTAGGTCGTGGAATTATGAGGAATACCCGGTCAGATATTCAGAGACATGGAGGAGAACGCGATTCAGAGAGCGCACGGACTTACACATAAACGAACACTCAGATGAATACTTGAGAATTGTGTAAAGGAAACTTGAGTTTTACTCGAGCGTCTTATGTGTCTCTTTAACGGACTCTGGTTAGAAGTACTGATATGCATCATCTGCTCCTTCTATACCGTTCGTTTCATTTGCTTCTCCTTCGACCGTTGTTTCATCCTTGATCACATTCCCCGGTCTTTAGTTTCTTTTCGTAGACATCTTGTTCTCTTGCAAGCTTCATCAAGAAACCCCTCCGCTACAAATTCAGGCTAACTAATTCGTGATAATAAAATGGCATATATGGCATATACAGAGACAAAACGCGGTACAAGTTATTAACGGTACCTGATAATACGTCTTCTAATCATAGAATACCAGAGCTCTTAGCTCAATAGACTCCCGAGGCGGCGTTCCCTCTGGAGTGTTCGGGTCTTGGAACCCAGTATGAGGGGTCAACCTCGCCACACTGCCATCTTGTACCGAATCAGAGCTAAGACCATTTTAGCACAATGGAAAGATCCCCCGAGTGACTTGGCTCACCATTTGATAAGAACAAACTCTTCCGGAGTCATTGAATTCAAGTATTTCCATTGGTGGTTTGCGTTGTATTTGACTCCAAATGTCTCACCCTCGTGGTCAGGGTATATAAGAGCGACAGGCACCAAGTCTTGCTCGAAATCAACACTGCGGAAGTCGCATAGTGCGAGCGGCCAATCAACAGCCGCATGCGATATCGGACGCCAAAGGTTTATGATTTGGAAGCGTCTGCGAAGGAGGGAAGGAACTTCTGTTGGTGGGAGGTGCCTATGAACACGAGCGGTGGCCGCCGCAGGCGTTTGGTCTACATGAGCTGCGGAGACTGGTTGACGTCTCCCTGGGTTATCACCTGCCTCGCCTGGGCGACGGCGGCGAACAGCTGTGACATGAATTAGGGATCAGGATGTCGTTTCAAATGGGTGGTCAACTTACTGTGATCAAAGATGACAATCCTGGTTGCCCCCGTAACTCTCTTGATGAGGTCAATGCTCTCAGGGTAGTATTCGCGCTCAATCTCATCATCATTCAAGAAGCTAGTGTGCTTCGCCGCTTCTCGCCCATACTGAAATCCTGCATTGTCGAGCTTGTAAAGTTCCTCCTTCCCGCGCACGTCCTCGATTTGCATATCATGCGGCTCATGGGTGAAGTTTCGGGCCAGCTTTCCCGTGGCGCTATCTGCGTTGATTCTATTGTAAGGCCGAGAGCCGTCAACTGGAGCGAGGAAGTAATTGAGGGTGCTGACGGTGTCAGAAGCCATGTTTAGTCCGTTGGAGCTAGATGTAAAGCAGAATAGAAGTGCCCTTGGTGTGAAGAGCAAGTTGTGCCCTACTTATATGTCTTCAAATGCCGAGGAAGCCGCTTGGCTTATACATCTATATCACATTATGAATTCTCCTGGTTCGCTGATTGTTAATGCGAATGAAAATATCTCATAAGCAAGGCGCCACGGAAATGCGGGATATCCAAAGTCGTAGAGCTTCTTACCTTAATTACTAAGGCTCTCCCACCAAAGACCACCTAGCATACAGATGGTGTGCACAGCACCAATAATTATTGATGATGTCGCCATTTGGCGTTGCAAGCAGGTGACATAAGTTACCCCTATAGAGACTACAGCCATTAGATATGTCCTAAAAGGTCGAAGAAGACAGGATCTGGCCAAAGACATGATAGTTTATCACATAAAGCCGAGCATGCAGCTGCCGAAGTGAAACGGGCATGGATGGTCCATATCTGCCACAATATTCGTGGAGTGAAATCAACCAGGCTGGATCGACATTAATCAAGTTGCAGGTGCGAACGGGGCGCACAGTACCAGTCCAACTGAGAGCCATAAATGTAGAGTTGTTTGCTGTAGGCGTGGATATCGGAGTACAAAGAGGAAGTCGCACAGCACCCTATAGCTAAACCTGAGTTAGGTCGTGGAATTTTAAGGAGTACTTTGAACATTCAAAGATGTAGATGAGAACACATTCAGAAAGCGCATGCGTACATGAAGCTTTGAAGACTCAAGAAGTGGACAGTACTAGTGTTGGTGAACCGTAACATCTGGATTCTGCGCGGTGAAATTAAAATACTCGATACTTGAAGCTTGACGGGTTGAAAATTACTATGTAGACTCGAGTTTTGCTCGAGCACACGACGTCGCAGACTATTTGATCGGGGTCTTTATCGTGATGTACCGTTGGAGCAGTGCTATGTGTCTCGATGCTGGACTCTGCTGCATGGCATGGTTATGTCTCAGTGCGTTGACGCTCTCTATGCTCGTCTTGGCTGACTAAGCCGCCGCCTGCTTCAAACTGTTACAGCCTAACACTACTTTACACTTCCATGCAAACATTTGTTCCTTCTTAGATATTGTTCGTTTCATCTGCCTTTTCTTCGACCGACGTTGTTTCTTCCACGATCACATCCTCTCGTCTTTCTGCGTCTCGTTGCTTCGCTTCTTTCACTTCGAGTTTCTTTTCGTAGGCTCTTGGTCCCTTGCAAGCTTCAAATCGGGAAACTCCTCTGCTACAAATTCAGGTCAAGTGTGTCAAACTTTCTCTGATTCATGATAATTCGATAAGATGGCACATACATACGCCAAAGTAACGTAGTATGAGGTATTAGCTCTACTTGATAATACGTGTTCTAATTATAGAATACCAGAGCTCTCAGCTCGATGGATTCTCGAAGTGGCGTTCCCTCTGGAGTGTTCGGGTCTTGGAACCCAGTATGAGGGGTCAGCCTCGCCACACTGCCATCTTGTATCGAGTCAAAGCTGAGACCCTTTCAGCACGACGGAAATTTCCCCCGAGTTAATTCGCTCACCATTTGATAAGAACAAACTCTTCCGGTGTCATGGCCTTCATGTATTTCCACTGGTGGTTTGCGTTGTATTTGACTCCAAGTGTCTCACCCTCGCGGTCAGGGTATATAAGAGCAACAGGTACTAAGTCTTTCTCCACATCAATACTCCGGAAATCGCATAGTGCAAGCGGCCAATCTACAGCTGCATGTGATATAGGACGCCAGAGGTTTACGATTTGGAAGCGTCTGTGAAGGAGGGAAGGAGCTTCTGTTGGAGGGAGGTGCCTATGAACACGAGCAATGGCCGACGCAGTCGTTTGGTCCACATGAACCAGGGGGACTGGTTGACGTTTCTGTGGGCTGTCATCTAACTCGCCTGGGCGACGGCGACGAATAGCTGTGACATGGATTTGGCATCAAGACCTCGTTTCAAATTAGTGGCCGACGTACTGTGATCGAAAATGACAACGCTGGTTGCTCCCGTAGCTCTCTTGATGAGGTCGATGCTCTCAGGATAGTATTCGCGCTCAATCTCACCATCATTCAAGAAGCTAGTATGCTTCGCCGCTTCTCGCCCATACTGAAATCCAGCATTGTCAAGCTTGTAAAGTTCCTCCTTCCCGCGCACGTTATGAATTTCCATCTCACGCGGCTCCTCGTTCCAGTTACGGTTCGGCTTTCCCGTGACGCTATCTGCGTTGATGTTATTGTAAGGCCGAGAGCCGTCAGGTGGAGCGACCATGTAATTGAGGTTGGCAACGGTGTCAGAAGCCATAGTTCGTTGGTGCTGGATGTAAAGCGGAATGAAAGTGTGCTTGGTATCACAAGCAAGTTATATCCTGCTTATTTATGTCTCCAAGGACCGGAAAGCCGCTTGGCTTACATATCACATTTATATTATCAATCCTCCTGGCTCGCAGCTGATTGTTTATGTAGATGAAAATGTCTTATAAGTATGGCCCCACCGTAACTGTGAAGTGGTGGTGATGATCAATAATCCAAAGTTGCAGAGCCTCTTACTTCAATTACCAAGTCCAATTCTCAACTAGCAATCTCCAGTAAATATTGGGGTGAGGAGAATGATCGATTTTGTAGCTCAGATTTCAAAACATTAGCCAGGTGAAATCGACTCGGACGTGGCCCACAAACCAGTGGGAGTGCGTAGGTGCATTTTTCCGGTCGGACCGGTGTTCCAGGAACACCTAGACATAGTCAGCTGCTACAAATATCGCTCGTCCAAAAAAAAGACATTGATGTGGCGTATGTGACGCGGTACTGTGACTGTCACAAATGCTATCGAACACCATCTTATGTCGCTCGAAATGAATTTCAAACACAGCTTTGAATCCTCATTAATGATCAACATATGAAGATATGAATGTCCATCTGCGCATAGGCCCCATGGAGTGCTGCATTCACCTCTCATAAATTTCACAATGCTTGTCTTCCGCGTTCGTACTACTTGGGAATGTTGTACCATCAGCTTCACAAAATCAAGGTAATTTCTGGTAATTTTTGACAATTGCTTATAATTTCGGTGAAATCATGCAAGATTATATTTCCTAACTCCAGTCGCAGTTACTTCGAAGTTTTCCCTGCTGTATGCATCTTGTGTTTGTATTGTATTGGGTCTAATCATTCATTGATCTAATGTTGCCATTGGTTTTCAACCGACAATGTCTTACTGTATCAAGCTTCGACCCACCTTGTCAAGTCTGATGCAGCTTCTGTACTCTGTACTACCATGCCAAGCCTCATTCAGGCTGGGTCGAGTACCACACACACCACAACAAGTTCTTCCTAACATCTTCGCAGTCTCCGTACTAATGTCAACCTCCACACTTACCCATGCCGCGTCAATGCCTTGTGAATGCCGTGTCACTGCCTCGTCACACCTACCACATGTAGCGTCACTGCTGCGTCAGACCCCACCCTGCGCGTCAGCACTTCAACTGTCGGTGTAACTTGGGTATATTTCCAATCTTTAATAATAATTGATTTTCTAACAGTGTCTCCATTAGACGTCGTACACTGTAGTTGTTCATAGACAGCAATAAAATCATTTACTCAGCATTCTACGAGTACTCCAAGTCTTCGATAAATCATTTCTCCGGCCTGAACTCCTTTTATTTGTCTCCTATGGCCTAGGGAAGAACCGGTATCGCACTTTTGGAAATCCATATATACCATGGCTTTTGTAGGTGCTTTGAGATATGGAGTGCACTCGTCTGAATCATCCTCTAGGAATCAATCAAATATATATTCCTTTTTCTATCCCAACGAGAGACGAAATAAAAATCATCCAAATCAACTGCTGGGTGTCGGGGACCTTACCCCCTGTCATGACTGCTCAGGTGCGCCATTCGACTGATGCTCTTTGCGAACTCAAATTTGACAAGTAAAACAGGTAATATAATAGTTTATCTCCCGGCCTCTGTACAGACCACTTGGCCATCACATACTTTAAGCTTCCACGAGTCTTTGCATGTTTCTCTGACACTAAAACATAGATCTAACATGGTCACAAGAGAGGGCAAGTATAGACAACTTTCAGAGCCGTGCCCTCGCCCTGTTGTCGGTCTCAGACATGGATACTCAAGTAAAAAATTGCACCCTTTTTACGAGATAAAGCCGTGGCTCGAGTGGTGGCTTCGTAATACTCATGCTCAGATGCTGTTTCCACCATTTCAGAAGACGAAGAAGGGTCTATACCAGGCAATAGGTCTCTAACTTGTGTAATTGACACGTGGCCCCTTATTCAGCGATAACCCTGATGCCACGTCTTCAGACAAGTTATCCGAAGTTGTAGGAGCCTCCTTCGCTGCCAGCTGAAGAAGAAATTGCGCCCGTGAAACGTCACCCTTCGACGCCGGCTGAAAATGTGCGCCTGTTAAACGTCGACGTGCTTCGCAGAGGGTCCAGGAAAAGAAAATAATAATTGGCTGATATAGCTAGTAGTATGTGTTCCTATGATGGGTAAAATAACGAAGGAATGGTCACGAGTCCGTGTAACTTGATCTGGGAATCGAATATAGGAACGCTTGTACTGACATGTTAGTGGCTGGGTCAAGGCCATGTTGAAACCACTCTGGTATCATATGCTGTGCACAGCACCAATAATCATTGATGATATCGACCATTGACGCTGAAAACAGGCAACAAACATCATCTCTATAGAGACTACCGGTGAAGCCTAATAATATAATGAAGACAGTCGTTTCCAATTGGAGGAAGGACGATTTAGACAGAGCTAGACTCAGACCATCTGAGTCTAGCTCGCCAAATCGTCCTTCCTCTAAGAAACGACTGTCTTCTTTACATCATTATGACTATGGGAGTCTATAACAAACAACAAGTGACAAGCTTCAGAAAGACTGGTTGGTGGTCGGCTCCAAGCGGGAAGACGAAGTGAGCGACGGTGGTCGGATGACTCGGACCTCATCTGAGTTCGTGAAGATTTAACGAGCAAAGCCCACTCCGGAGTGGCGAGCTGCGAAACCCCAAGAATACACCCTGCGGAATCGAATTGTGTGACGAAAGCCCGAGCAAGCACGTATTGGAGGAGACTCTAGTCACGTTCCGGAGTCTTTGTGACAAGTTATTTCGGCCAAATGGTCTCTCCTATCCAGACCAATCGATCGTTCTTCGCCAACGGGAAAGGATGCTTGCGTTTGTCAGCCTGGCACGTCATCGTGGAAACATATAAGGGGGCCAATTGATCAACACCACCTCCCATTTTTCTTGCTAACAATGTCTACAGTCTCTGCAGAACTCGTGTACTTTGCTCCACCCCTTGACGGGTCTCGCCCATTCACCAATATAAATACTGATTCGACGACAGGCTTCCGTCCGCGTAATTGGAAGCAAGAGGTGCATACTGTCGAGATTGAGAACGTCAGGGGAAAAGAAAGTGACTACACCTTGGATACTGCAGGCTTTCAATACGTCATGAAACCTTCCAAACATAGTGCTTTTATCAATGACGAAGAGATCAGAGGAGAATACTATCCAGAGAGCATTGAACTCCTCAAGGACATCACGGGCGCGAGCAAGGTCGTCCTTTTTGACCACAGTACGTGTGAAACGGGCGTATCATACTCTAATATCTGATTTTTGTTTGGACCTTAGCGGTCAGACGCCACCGCCCTGGAGATGCAGAAACGGACGAAAGCAAGCGCCAGCCTGTTAATCAGGTTCATGTAGACCAGACTCCTGAGTCGGCCACCGCTCGTGTACACCGACATCTACCTGCCGGCGAAGCGGAGAGACTTATTAAAAAGCGTTTCCAGATTATCAACCTTTGGCGACCCATCTCTCACCCTGCAATCGACCATCCATTGGCGCTGTGCGATTACAGGACTGTCGACGTAGGGAAAGATCTCGTTCCTGTCACATTGGTATATCCGGATCGTGAGGGTGAGACTTTCGGGGTCAAATTCAACCCGACACATAGGTGGAAGTACAAAAAAGGGATGAAACCGGACGAGGTAGTATTGATCAAATGGTTCGCTGATTATGTTTTGGTCTGTGATGATGCGTTTACCTTGGTCGCAGTTACGATTCGGCTAAGGACGTCAACATTGCTAAATTCACCCCACATACTGGGTTCAAGGATCCCTCGGCACCACAGGGAGCGCCGCTCAGGGAGTCTATCGAGCTTAGGGCGTTAGTTTTTTATGAGTAGAGGGGTATCGTTGCTGTGATGTCATCATGGTTTCTTACTTCATCTTGCATTCTTGCAATTGACCGTTAAAATTACGGAAGTGAACGTGATTGACCTAGAGATTAAACGATTGTGAGTGTAGAGTTTTCATGATAGCATTTGCATTGCGAAAGCGCCTTTGCGGGAGTCGAATTGTTCTATTCATGCAAGGCGCTCAAAACCCCAAAGAGATCTAGCCCCGTCCTTACCTAGTCAACTATATAAGTCAGACTTAAGACCTCATATTGTCGTCAGGAGCTACTGGTCATATCATGACAGCCCTAACTCAAGTATCTCGTATATCTTATCGTTTATTTACCCCTACAATCTCAAACGCTCGTCCACGTTCCGTATCGTGTCGCAGTGCAGCCCAGAAGAGAATACTCGATACTGAATTTGTGGGCAGCGAATATCATATCCCCCTCCTCAGCTCGTGCTATCAACAAGACTCTCGGTATCAAATATAGTCAGTTCGAAGACAATCAGCTGGACACCCCGATTAACAACTGACTCCCTGACATTAGACAGGACGTTCTGGGGTCGTGTCCCACTTGGCAGTCCGATCTCCATATCAGTTCCTATTCGCCCACTTTCGTGATTATCGGGAGTAACAGAAGATGAGGAAGATCTGCGGGTCAAGAAATGGTTCCAGGAGCGGCACCACTGGCGTAGAATGGATGGCTTCGCTCGCTGCGGGATGCGACCTGTCACAATGCCGACTGGTGAGCGGGTAGTTGAAGAAATGTCAGTCAAAAAGTAGCTGACTCTGTTTCCCAGGAAACCCACGAGCAAGTCTAGTGGCAAGGGGGACAAATATTTCTGGCAGAATGAGCAAGAAGCCCAGCAGGACCAGCAAGATCGAGAAGCTCAGCAGGGGGATATGAAGAGGCTTAGCGGGCCATACTGATAGTGCAACAATCAATTTCCTACCATGAAACATTGTTGAGTCAGTTGTACCAGGATGATGCACGCCTTGATCCTTCGAATGCCTTCTCTCCCAACTCATGATGTGCATCGTCGAGGAATTCCTGGCATCGCGACGATCAATGCAATATATTTAATTGATACTGGTATTGTATGAGATAACGGCTGATATTGATATTGTCAAGTCACGCGACGTACTGTGGTATGTAACGTCAGAAAAATGATCGATATTGGATCTTGCGATAAGCCACACTGCCTTACTCGTGGTAGCGAACGTTAACAACGATTTTAATAGTCCGACTGTCAAAGTTCATTTCATAGTGTGAACGCCGTCTACCAGTCCTGTAGTGATTATTTAGCTCGACGACACGACAGTCAAACGAACCAGTAGTTTGGTGGGTTGTGCATCTCTTCGCCTGAGAGCCCGTTCAGTGAATTGCGCGACTCCAAAACTAAGATACTCCCGCGCTAAGAAATTGATAGATGTGACATGCATCAACTTCTTCGCGCGGGAGAATCGCCTTGAGCGCCTGTGTATTATGGGTGGTTCCACACAAGCAATTGAATAGGGCGATGCTCGCTCCGGAAGTACATCGATTGAGGTTGCAGCAAACTTTTACGCAGCGGTCAGTACAGCGTCCACCAAAGAGGATGCATGTCTGACACGGTAGTATACCTTGTATGATGCAGCCGTGACAACAGATCACACTAGAAGAGAAATAGAAACTGAGGGCACCATCAAATGATAGAAATGAGGCAATGACAACAAAAAGAACGGGAACGAAAGGAGTAGAAGCACATGAGAACAATCGTACCACCGAAGATCGAACGTTCGCACTAACTTATAAATGACCATACGCACCTCCTAGAGCTGGGTTCCATTAATCGAAGCTGACTTCCCCGCGTATATCTGGAGAATGGGGAAACCTGAAGTTTCCGAAGCAATTCGGAAGTGCCTCAAATGCAACTTAAATGTAAGCCGGTCTTCGGGTTAGACCTATGGTGGCTAGTAGCCGAATCCTGATGCAGATGGATGAGCTCAGAATGCAACGCATTGCAATTGGCACAGGCGCTTGAGGTCTTAAGGTGTGTTCGACAGAATCAACTCTAATGACCAGATATTTTTAAATATTCAAGTTGCATAACGTTCTCTCCGTCGGAGTTAGAATTAACTTTTACTCGTGTAAGTACAATGTACATCATGGCCACAGTCTCGACTGGCAGGCTTGCCGTATGATGATCAACCGTGTACTACCTTAGTATGTGAGCCATCTCTTACTTCCGTCATGCATGGACATGTGCCCCAATTACACAGTGCGACCATCATGATCCATACATCATGATCAGGTCATCATGAGCAAGGCACCCTCCGCCGAATCTGCTAGATCTAAGTCACACACTGTGATCACGGCTGTGACGTTGCTGTGCACACTGTAGTACTTATTTTGAACTGCTCGCTACATTTATTTACCTGTTGGGCCACACGAAATATGGCAGATTCCTTCGGTTTGCAGCTAGCCAAGGTAATCAGTCGTGCTCTGTCCGCAACCATTCTCTAATGTCTTCCGTCAATGAAGTACACTAACGGTAAGGTCAGGCTGATGGCAACGTTTATCGTTATTCACGAACCGGCTTTACTAGTCGCCGCATTAGCAATCCTAGTAAGTTGTATTGTTTCAGTCTTGTCAATAATAATATTGATGCAATACTAGATTTATGACTACTTTATCACGTTACAATCTGAAGTCAGAAAAAATCAGCCACCCATACCCTAGTGCTGATCTTTCTTGTAGGTTCAGTGGACCTTTGGACGGAAGTGGGGAGTTGTTCGCACTACCTTCACGGTTTCGCGATATGTGCCTTTTGCTGGTGCAGTCATGACCTTGTACTGTGAGATACTTACGCCAGTGCGCGCTACTAAGCAAAAGCTGATTCCTGACCAGCCGCTCTCAAGACATGGGGCACGCAAAATGTGGGTACATCTTCTATCTGTGCAGCGACAGTTACCTACTACAACTCACAACAATGCAGTGTGTGCCATTTAATGATGCTGTCAGTGGTTGGTCCAGGCAATTTTCATTACACGGATTTGCAATGACATTTTGCAGGCATGCATTTCTTGGGAATCATTGCCTCGGAAGGTTTGGTTTTTTCATATGACATTACAGCGTGGATTTACATTCAAACGCAGGATTATTGATTGCCAGGATCTACGGCTTCTCTGGCAACAACAACACTTGCCTGATCGTTCTTCTCTCTTTTAGTTCGGTACAATTATATTTCTATTTGCCTTAAGCACCACTAACTCGCGTGGCGCAGGTCATCTTGACGATGGCAGTGATTCTAAGTGCCGCCCCTGTCGATTTGAATATCCCAAGAGGTGAGGTCTCAATGTTCACATCCAAGTCTTAATATTCATTCTCTTTCAGCCTCCCCGCCTTGCGTGTTCGAGGGGGCTCGTAGTAGTGCCCTTCCGTATGGACTCTTATTGTTCTTCGAGATTGGTAAGGCGATCATTAATTCAAAGTTCCTTACAATACATTTCACTTCTAGTTCTCATGTCCACCACCGCATTTTTGAGATATCGACACTATCTTGGTTCTCATAGCACGCTGATGAGGAGTATCTATCGTGATGGACTGCTCTACATGTTCTGCATCATGAGTATGAACACCATCAAGTTGTTGATTTTGTGCTAACATCTCTGTAGTGGTATCTGCAGCCAATGTAATTGTAATCGCTGTGCTACCTGTGAGTTCTTTCTTTGTTGACTTGATCTCGACGAACTGAGTAGATTCCTAGCTCTCGTTCAGCGACATGCTAATCACGTTAGTCTGGTCGATCATACATGTATATGTATATCCCCGAAGCTCATTCCTCCATTTTAGGCCTCAGATTGTTGTGCACAGCGTTCTTGCTTCTCGCATACTATTTAGTCTTCCGGTGAACAAGGTGCCGGTCTTCCCCACATACCTATCGACGTCTTCAGCGGAAATGTTATCGTGTCCACACGAGTTTGGTGTGATGTCTGGAGACGGTGAGACAGTCGGTGGCGCTAACCACAATCAAGCTTAGACTGCTAGTTCTGCAGGTAACATGACACTGATAAACGTTTATCATTTGAGTTTGCTGACTATGGAATTTTCACCGTCAGTGCTTCGAATCGTGCATCGGTGGCTATGAATGGGTAATTCAATTTGGTCAATCCTTGTGAAATTTCGTCCCTCCTGAACACATGGGTATGATACAATGACCATTCTGGAATGCACTTACGGTTACGATGTCAAGCTCTCCAACGACTCTCTTACATAAACCCGCGGTTCGCCTGTTACAGCAATCCTATCCTATAACAATATTCCAAGACCACCGACTGATTCAGCAGTCTGGTAGCTGATGCTGATACCAACTTCTCGACAAAATAGGAAAGGTTTAGGGTTCGCATGGGTAACTTACGACAGAATGATCATAGTAAGGTTAAGTCGGCATTGACATTTCAAAATTCACGGCATATTGTAGAGGATTTTTGAGCTCTATATATGATAACCCTTACCCCTCTCAGCTCCTGGGTACATGATGGTGTCTGCTGCAGACTTCTCTCAACAGGATTTTGATTATATTATTATGGGAATGCCTGTGTGCGACTTGTAGATCTAAGGTTTTTACAGGGGGCGGAAGTTGAACTGGCCTTACATTGGCCTCAATGTACACGCTTATCTCTGTTCTTCAAATTTAACTTTGGGATGTTGTAGCCTCTCAACTAATGCTAGCGCTTGCGTAGGAGTCATTGATGCAGGTCTAAGGAAGAATGATGAGATCATTCTTGTCCCCGGTATTAAGGGGTCCAGTGACTGATTGATCTTGTATTCATGGTTTTTTTTTCAATTTCTCTTGGTAAAGGCAATATGGTCGGCAGGGCAGTTTAAAGTAAATCTGGAGGTGTGCTTTAAAGACAATGCATCACAGTTCGAGTCTAGATCCCGAATATGACTAGAATTTCGTCATAAAACCTCAACCATTTGCTCAGAATCGGAAGATGCCAATCCCTAGAGGCAAAGTTCTTAGTGGTTCATGGAGACAGGGGCTCTGGGCGACTTGACTGCGGAAATCATTGAACCTAAATTAACCTTTTTGGTCAGATGAAGAACTGATGGATTACATTCGCTCAGATGTCGGCAGTGCATTCCGTCCTATAGGTAGGTTGTTTAACTTGAAGGCTGCAAGCTTTTCTTATGCAAATTTCCCCTCGAAAGGGACGGCCTCGAAGCTCCCTCGATCCGCCAATGGCGTCGTCGATAACGAACTAAAGGTCAAATTATCCTTGAGTATAATTGTCTACGAGACGAACTCACGGATTTTCCACAGGTGTATGGGACAACCAACCTGAGAGTGGGGTGTATATCGCTGTTGACAAACTGAGCTCAGCTTCATTAACATGCACTTCACAGGCGGACGCCAGCATCTTCCCAATCGTAAGGCTGAAAGATGTTGCCTTGGACATACTGATATGGGTAATCTTAGCACCTGGGAACTCATCCTCAAGCCACGCTTTATGGGTAAGTCATCGATAATGATTTTGCGACTTGTTCTGAGAAGATCTTTCTAGGCTGGCTCACAAAGCCGCAGAAATCATTCAAACCGGCGACAAAGATAAACTTTGATATCCTCGATGGAAAGTATTGTCCATGGACGGCTATTTACACAAGTATGATTCCATAGATGTTTCAGGCGCCAATAGTTCCTGTCCATGTGTCAATCAAGTCGATTACACAGTAACCCTTCACAGGCACGTATTGCTTAGTGATCATCTTGATCACCTCTTGAGCAACCATGCCACCAAGGAAAGCTGCAGTGTTAGGCAGCTCGGAAAAAGGTGCTCGAGCACTAATATAGTGACATGAGCCATAACCTTAAACCAAGAAAACCCTACTCACATCTCACCAATGGCATTGTCAGCATCAGCAGGAAGCTCAGTGGACTGTCCAACAATGGTTTGAATCTTTGCACGAATGGACTCTGCGGATGGTGACACCGAGGTGTCGCCCACTTGAAGCAACGAAAGCGCAGAGAGAGCTAGATGTATGCATGTCTCCTTCGGCATCGCAGATAACGACTTTACTAACCCAACAGACGAAAGTAAGCAGTCTGAGCCAATGCAAGATCCCAGAGTGTTACCTAGAGCAGCTTTGTCTTCATTGAATGTACCCCAAGGTTTGCCTCTAAGAACGACCAGTGCATGTGCATTCTTGACAAATGAATCAACCATGGCGTCGTCGACTGGTACTCGGAGATAGCTCTTGAAAGCCTGTTTTTCTTCCTCCGCTCTTGTTTTGTAAAGTCGCTGCAAACGTATGTAGTTATGGGTGTCAGACTTCATATCTGGTAGGGTTGATGTAAGAGGGAGCGTGTGTGTATCGCATTGTTCTGTGTACTCCTTCAGGGCAGCGAGGAGATGGAAGAAAGGCGACCGATTGCTGTCCATGGCTTCAGTGGATAGCGCGGGGTCACTAAAAAGGGCCGTGATTTCCGAAGGAACCTAACGGAACAGTTATACTAAAACTCGAGGTAGATGGAACAATGAGAAACCTTCGTTTCTGTCCAACATCTGTATGCCTGTGCTTCTGCTTCGTCAAAGTTTTCTTCATCCTCCTTCACTTTCAGTGCGAGGACACCTTCCTTGAACTGTTGTCGTTCTTCGTATGATTTCGGTAGACTACCACCATGCTGTATGATCCCTCGTGAACATGCATTCAACCTGAACAAGGGTAAACTTACAGATTCCTTCCAATTCTCAAGCGCACGAACTAAGATCACCACGTATGGTATGTGTCCGTGCTCTGTAGAATCCATCTTCTCAAACTCCAGCGACAGCGCGTGTTCTCTCAAAGCTGGGAATGGTTTGTCGATGCGGAGGGAAGGAGATGTTTCTGAGTGACTCTCGATGACTTGAAAACGTCATAAGCATACTCAAGAACACAAATCCATACGTACTTGTGTGTTCACGAAATTGAATATAGAAATCTGCCAGGAATCCAGCTGACCGGACGACCACAAGAGGCGGGTATTTCGTATCTTTCCAAAGGAGTGCAGAAAGCTTGTTCAAGAGTGTGTGATCTAGGTTATGGGCAATGACGATAGTGAATGAAGTGATCCACTCGGGGTCCGACTCGAGGATGCTCTCGAGAGTTCTAGTGTCTGCGCAACCTTTAACACTGTCATTTAGCTCGCCCAGAAGTCGGACAGCCTCCTCTGCTCTATATTTTCCAATACTATTGTATCCTTCTAGGAAGAAGTTATTTCCGGCATCGGAGTGTGACACCTTGGCGTGATCAAGGATAGTGAAGTGCCCGATGCCAGGAAGAACAAGGTTCTTCAAGATTGAAGTTGAAGTGGCGGATCCGGATATCAACAGTACCCGAGAAGACTCCAATGCACTTTGTCCAGTTGCTGCCCACAGGCTTGTTCGCAAATGTCAATTGGGCCTCATTTGTATAGTTCTCCTGAAGTAATCTTACCGGAGCTGACGATCATATCTTCGTGTTTTGGTGTCTGGCGCAGACCTATGTCTGGTCAGCAGACAAGTTTTAGTTTGCTAAAGAGACCATACTCTATTGCAGTGGTTGCAGTCTCGATGTCCTGAGAGTCCTGACTAGACATGATGGTCGAAAGTAAAGGCTGTAGCTGAAAGCGGCAACTGATAAGTAAAGGTGACAAATCAACGCGTACAGTCACACATTTGTCACACTGTGACATTCGTGTCTTTTTGACCTTCGCCATGACGGACACGCGTCAGTTCGGTGATCTTGCCACTCAGCTCATCGCGGAATCTCGTAGATCGACCCTAACAGACACTCTTCTCAAATATAACGACAATCTTGTTCGATCCATCATCCGGGAACAACGCGATCTCGAAAAAATGACCGAAACCAGTCAGAACGTCACTCCAGCGATGCTCATCTATCAAACAACCATTGTACGAAACAAGAGATGTCTCCTAGCATATCACAAGCACCGTATGGATAGATTGCGCGATATGTATTGGACCACTGGAGGCGCTTTACCGCATATTTTGAGCAATCAGGATATTCGCGGCAAACTCTCTCCTCATGAAGTCGACTTCCTTCGCCAGTACAGCACGTCTGTGATGGATTATCGTGCTGGTTTTTCCAACGAGCTCGATATCACAGCCAGTATCACCCATCCGCCCAAAGACTTGCATGTGCTGGTTCACGTTATCAGGGATTGTGGGATCATACAGACAGAGCTTGGGACCATCGATTTTCAGAAGGGGCAGAGATTCATGGTTAGAAGGGCTGATATCGAACACCTTATTGTGCAAGGTTATCTTGAGGAGGTTTGATAGTGCGTTGCAACTTTTCGTTAACAGGAAGGTTTTGACCATGATCAGAAAGGAAACACGTGGCGGTGTTTATTTCTGATGTTGCCAAACAACTCGGCACTTTGTCGAATGCGTCTACGCGTTGCACCAAGTACCTCCACCATGATGCGGCATGGTCTCCACAATTGCTCGAAATTATCATCAAGTGCATTGATCTCACAAAATCGCTTTCCTTCATTTCCTAAATATCTGTCTACACATTTACGACGGTTGTCAACTGCAACTCCTAAGGCTTCTCCGTCCCTTGGCGTCCAGCCAACGAACGAGCGCTATGATCTCTTCTTTTCTGAGGGCCTTAGTCCTCCTATGTTTACGCCAAATAAAGGGAGTTCTGGCGGTTCTGAAGATATATCCGACAGTGAATGGCAAATCCGGACAGGTCAGTCAGGCATGCTGCCCTTGGGAGACACACTGATGCTACAATCAGATCCCCCTATAATCATCGTTCCTTTTTCTTCGTTATCGTATAGGCCGCGCTATCTATATCCTACAGCAAACGCTTCCTGACTTCTTCGATGTGGGCCTTGTCTCAAGCATAGACCCCACAAAGACACCGGCTCTCATTAATTCCAGAGAATCAGATTCGCTGGAGGTGGAAAGCATTTACAGTCCCAAAGTGAGGTTGACGTACACGCCCCCTGTCGCCCTTCCTTCGCCGTTTCCAAGAACACTTGGCCTGGAAGGTTAGTAATGTGCCTATATTACGTTCCCGTCATTAAAGATAACGATGGTTTTCCTCAGGACTGCCGCTGTACCTGGCTTCATCTGTCTTTATCCGGCACACAATGAGAACATTGTACTCAGACCTTCGCGTAGAGCTACGCAAGGTGGCGGTGCAAGGATCGCTGTCCGCGCATTCAGAAGGCGCTGCAGTCGGAAGCCACTCGAATCACCAACGAGACAAGAGTCTCCTTATTGGCTTGGATGTGTATGGTACGACACGCGTCAGCGGTGGCGTTGGGCAATGGCAGATGTCAGGATCTTTACCGTCAGCCCTGATTCTTGCTGATCATGATCAAATAGAGACTCGACGTACAGCTTTTCGCCTATTTCTGGGCTGATACAGACGCATACCATCAACTCCATACATCCAGCGCCGCATCAGGCTGCATATGATGCACTAAGAGCGTCGCTCAGTAGTGTGTTTGGCTTCGGTGGGCCTGGGCCGGGGGATATTCGACCGGGAGAGGTTCGGGCGGTTGATGGCGATAAAGAGTGACCTACATTTGTTTCATGAATTTTCCGCGTTCATGTCTTCGCCAAGTATTTATTGCCTCGTTAACCAAGATGAGCTTTACGATCCACATCCTGTCGTCGGCTGGCGTGAGAGTCGGCAGATGGCGTATACCCATATCCATCACTTGTTTCCATCATCAAGCTGACGTCTAGCCAGACTTATAGAAGACGGAAAAGAGATCTGAGACAGTCCGTCTGCTTGCACATAAAATCTGGATTTTAATGCAGGACTTAAGTGTCGGCGAAGTCCGACCGGCCCTGACAGCTGGCGGTAACGGGGGCCGGGGCACAGCCCTGAGGCCTGAGAGTCTGAGACATGCGGTATTGTTTTGAATAATTTTAATTATTGTTGCCTTGCGAGCCCTCTCTGTACTGTGGACGCCTTCAAAAATATCAAAGACTATGTTCAGGCATGCAGTACGCACTGGATCACAATCCGGAACATATAGCCCGACGCAGCGCTCTTTTTAATGATAATTACATTGACAGATCATGATGAAACCGATCCATATTGGAATCATAGGGAACGGTTGCCATGCATTGGTCCCGTTGACCCAAGTATAGAAGGCATATGTATTATAATCAAGTTTGAACTCATTCTCAAGTTGCTCCGCCTCTTTCATCTCACGTCTCTTCACCTTGAGCTCGCCGCTGACCTCGTCTTTCCTTGATTGCACACTCATTTTTTTCAATCGTTCACCCATTCTTTCAAACGCAATGTTCACCAAAGCAATTGCTGCTATCCTCGCCTTGCCCTTCGTGGCACAACGTTAGTATTTCATTTTTTTTTGTTGCGTCTTTACGGTTGATTCATCACGCGGTTTTTTCTGTTTTGTAGTTGTTTCCGCAGACACCTGCACTCGTTATTACACCGCTCAGGCTGGCGATATTTGTGACAGTATCTCAGCAGCCAACGATGTTTCCACGTACGCCAAGCTCAGTTCTTGTTGAAAATCCTCTGCTGACAATTTTATTCCTGCAGCTACCAGCTTGCTGTCGTCAACGTCGGAATCATTGATGAAGCATGCGACAACCTTGTCGTTGGCCAGAGTTACTGCCTTGGATGGCAGGGAGAGGACTGCACGACCACTTATGTAGTCCAACAAAACGATGACTGCGACATTATCTCCTCCGCCGCAGGCATCAACACCACCATCCTCTATGAAAACAACCCGCAGATCGACGAGTATTGCAGCAACATTTACATTGGAGAGGTACCTCAATATTTCCCAGCTCCATTACAGTTGCTAAGGGTCTCGTTTAGGTATTGTGTACAGCGAACACTGTCCAAGTCCCTCCTGCTCCCGCAGGAACTACCCCCGCTACGTCTATCCCTCCAACCGCTACTCCTGCCAACCCCGACGGCGACCTCCCTTGGTGTGACGAGTAAATTCCTTGATGTCCACTATCCCACTGTACTTTTCAGTGTATGTCGCACGGATTGCCAACTGTGATCAACTGTGATGACAGGCTGGTCGTGTCGTCGCTTTGGTCATCTTATTCCCTTTTTTTCATTTTGAACTTCATATCGCCTTGTTTTTCACAACCAGAGCTACCCCCGGTGGTGGTATACCCAGCATAGTAACTTCATCTCTGCACTTTGTTACCTTGAATCCTTCGCATGTGGCAATTCTGGAAATTCCCTTTACATTCGAGGGAATAGATCGCGGCCTTATAGGGCTTGCCCTTGAAATGACCATTTGTATACGCCGTTGCCGTCGGTGTGATGAGGATATGCGGGAATGCATACCCGTCCGATCTGTAGGTGAGTGAGAGGTTTTTGGCAAGCCAGATTCAGCACAGGGGTCCACCTCGTGGTCCTTAGAAGGACACTCATTTGCGCACAATGAACGATCAAGCGCCCATTAGTGCCCTCTAAATCTATCTACTTCCTGAAAACGATGTGCCTCGGAAAGAAGAAGGAACGTGGGAACTCAAGGCTGGTCAACAGTGAACACGAAGCTTCAAGCTTCAAGTACAGTACTAGTAAGACCAACGAGTTTCAAATTATATCAGGCGCTGAGCTTGGATTCACTCGTCCATCGGCTGTAGTCGGATGACATGGCTTCCAGCTTCTCCTCCATAACATGCACTCAAGTCTTAGTCTCAACGTGGTACTGATTATGAAACCCTATTTTACACCAAGAATGCGAGGATGAACGACTCGCCTGATCCTTATCGGGCGAGGAAAGATGGGTAGATCACATCTATTGATGGGGACGGTACTGCGTAAGACCCCCAAATTTATAGAAGTAAGATCATAGTTCCTTCTAATCTAATGCTGGAACTAAGTGAGTTTTCACATTTTAGACAAAACAATCTATTCCGAATGCGCGTATGATAGATACCAATTAAGTTACGAAGATCAGGCCCGTGCGCGTCCATATCACGTGAAGTGTCCGTTTCAGGTAGGAAAGATTCAAAGAAAGAGAACCAACGCATAGCAAGCGTTGAGCTAAGAATTAACGATATCAACCTGATACAGGGCAGTATCAGGTTTCGGACATCTGGCGAGGGAATGGCGAGAATAGTAGGAAGTACACGCACCTTTGCAAGCTTCTGCCCTTGAGATAAAACAACGAGGCAAGACCGCAGACCCTTCAAACACCATTGCCTTTCAAGCCAGGATAGGAGATAACGGTTCCAGAAAGCCTGGAATTTATGATTGAGTTGATTGTCCCATGAATTCCGAACTCGCAAGAGATGGTCGGCCTAATTTTGACAGGCGTACTTGAGAGCATCGGAGGCTGGTCGACTTTGTTACTGAGCTTCGTTTGCGAAAATGGTAAAGGCATTCATAGCATGAATGATATTCCTGCAGCCTGATGAGAAAATAAACTTCGGTAGTATAGAGGTTCAATAGTCCTGGTGCGGTAGGTGCCGGAAGCATTGGAAACATCAAGAAATCCGGCAAGCCCTTGAACTGCTGGACTACTTGGAGGGACGACGTACAAGGATTTGAATCAAAGCTTGTAAGTTGTGATTCGGTTGCGGAACGATCCAGCTGTCGATTGATGGAGAGTGCGAAGATGGGATGGACGGACGGATGTTTCAATCTATTCTGCTATGGAAAGCTCGTTGGATGGTTATGAAATGCAGTCAAAGGACGGGTAGGCGCTCGCTGTCCAGTGTTTGTAGGAGAACGAGGCTGCAGTGCGACCACACTACCAGTGCACAGCCAGACAGAACCACGTCGGTAGCGCTCAGAGGTGAACTAGAAATCGAGACAGATGTGCACTGTTGTGTGATCCACTAAATTCTATAATTGTGATCGATTGCGTTAGTATTATGAGGACTCTGCGGTACAAATACGAAACATAGTGCTACCCAAGTAGACGCTGGAGATCTTAGTGTCTGTCAAATTCTACTCTAGGCCGACAGGCTTTTTTAAAAAAGCGCGACAGGGTTGGCTGAATTGGCGGCGGCGTCGGTGCATAGCGATGTGATGGGTAGGCTTTCACGTTGTACGTCCCTGTACAACACTATGGTTGGCATTGCTACAAAACGTCTCAAAAGTAAGTTCTCAGTGTGAACTGGCACGCTATTGGTAGTTCTCTGAACATTGAACTCTGACACTGACAGAAAAGTCAGCGCAGAAATAGTGATCAAGTTAAAAGCCGACACTTACTTTCGAGAACCACGCCGGGTAGTTGTAAAGGACATGACGGCTCAAACTTCAAACTTCACAAGCCTCAGGTAAGTGAGTCTGCCTTTGGAGTGTCATCCACTTACAGCTACTGAGCAGGACATTATCTGACATTTCCATCACTGCCATCGAAGGATATGATCAGTTTCAACCAAGACCAGAAGTGTGGATTTTGTTAAGTGGTGAGCAGTACAAGAGATGCTGAGTTACGTAGGAACTCATCTAGGAAATTCCTTTAATGTAGTCCGTCGGCTCAAATCAAGCTCAATAGTACCGTTACATATTGTCGAGATGGTCTTGGAGGTATCGAGACACGTTGAAAAAGGGGAACGGCAGTTCAGGATGACTGATCACCGCGACACGTTCTTTTTGCGCCATTTATGACTAGCGAATGGGAAATCGTGGTGAGAAGATGATACACGCGATAACGATTACTACCACTGAAAGTTAAATGATAGACCGTCTCACGAGATAATCTGAAGATGATGGTGTCACATGACCTCCTATTTTTTACCCAATTCAATTCCAATTTCACAGTACTACTTGTACAGAGTAAGTACAAGCTACCTGCGGGTCTATCCACACTTGTGATTATCAGAGGCCTTCAGAGTGCCCCAGGGAGTTACATGCATGAGGCCTCGCAGCTGCGCAAGGTTTCTATGATGCCTATGAGAAAGTATCATACATCTTGATGCATATGGTTCCTCTTTACCATAACCTCAGGTGGAAGGTCAATTTTCTATTTGCCTGCCTCTCAGGCTGTAGGTAGAATTATTCCCAAGCCCATACAGAACTTAGCTCAGCGAATGGTACAAACTCACAGTGCTGTCAACTTGTCAATGTTTTTCACGCGCCACAAATATTCGGATCTATGACAGGCACTAATAATTAGTCTCCTAGTCAATTCATGCATCTATCATGCACGTTGACACGAAATGCATTTCTCAAAGACATACTCCCAACTGCTGCTCACATTACCCCCAGAGTTGCGTGAAAACGCCATACAATACCGCCAAGTAAGTCCAATGATAGCCAATTGCACAACAATAGCATAATTTAACCATCTGACAGCTCAAGAAACTCATCAACCAACTGGTCCAAGAGCTCTCTTCTCTTGGTCTCAGTCCGATTGTGCTCCAACAATTACTAACACAACAGAATCCTGCCAGTTTGACCGCCCAGATCGAGGAAATACGACAGCAGTGTGATCGAGTTTCTGACAGTGATGGTGACCACCAACGACACGCCACTGTGGTCTACGAGTTTACTGGGACATCCTCTCAGATCGAACCTCGTCTCCGGCTGTCAGTCGAATATCCAACGGACGCTACGGATATTGCATCTGAGCACACGACCACACCGGACAGCATCCTAGAGGCTCTTCAGCTTCATTCCCGAGCTCTAGCAAGCAATACGTCCTTGGTAGATATCTGCTATTCATCAAAGAAGTACGTCCGATGTATTTTTCAAATGCGCTCCCGTTGATAGCTTAGAACCCAGCACCCACAATCTTATCATACCATTACAGTCTGATACCGCGTTCTTTCAACTATTGAACACCGCCCTCGCATCGCTCGCTGAACACCTCAATACTGTGCATGGCGGTTTCACATCTACGCTACAAAGTCTGGCGTATGCTATTAGTGCAACAGCACGTCCCACCTCCTCATCAGCACCTCGTTCCTTCTCGGCTTATTCAATAGCCGTCAGTAACGCTGCTACATTACGACCCCGCTCTGGCAGTCGAAATACGGATCTATATTCATGGCGAGAGATATTCCAGATGTATGTTGAAGGTGAAATCTTTGAGAGCTTCGGGGAGAGAACTCGTGGGGAACGCAGTGTCGAGGAAACTGAGACTCGGATGAGGCGGTTTGAAGAACGCATGCAGGAGAAGAGAAGCAAGCTCAAGTTGGCTGGAAGTAAGGACGCGCTGGATATTTTCATGCGGATGAACTTTTTTATCCTGGATTTGAAGAGGGTGAGCGTGATTTTTGCTGTCAGTTTGTTTAGATATTCATTCTTTGACATGCAGTTCCAATTCGCGAATGCTGAGGCGACACGCAAAATTCTAAAGAAGCATACGAAGCGGACCGCATTGCCTCTTCCTTCCTACCTTCTTTCAGTCTGGAATGGTCCGTTGCCGGCGCCTCCACCACTAGCGGAGTTGGCCTTGTTCCCTCAGCCTTCAACATCTTTGCCCCGACTCCTCGTGCAAGCTATCGGCGAAATTCTACTTCCAATCGTGCCTCACGTCGACGATTATTCGTGTCTTATCTGTACCAGTCTCGCGTTTAAGCCAATCAGACTTGGTTGCAGCCATTTATTTTGTGTAAGGTGATTGCATGGCCATTCTCAGACCGACTGTTACGACCAAATCAACTAACTTGCTTCGTCATAGATGTCTAGTCAAGCTTCAAAGGCTCGGGAAAGCAAATTGCCCTATTTGCAGGGCCCCTACGGTGCTAAAGGCCAACCATAGTGAGTCCTCCGCTCGCCGCCTCATTGTGCTTTTGGGTAGCTTATGTTTTCACAGCCAACGTTGATTATGCGCTCTTGAACTTTATGGCTGACTGGTTCCCCCGGGAGTCGCGTGCGAAGCTGAGTAGTAATGAGCGCGAGGCAGCAAAGGAGGAACTTGAGGAGCTTGGTCTCTCTGAAGGATGTCGAGTGATGTAAACCACGACTGGGACGAGGTTCTTGTCTGCACAGTTCGGACTTGGGCTCTAGAGGTGCGTTGTGATACGCTATTTATATCGGAATGCGACACCTTGTAGGACTGCATGTATTTTGGATGTGGTTAAATTATGTTTTCTATTTAAGCAGAATGATAATGAAGGGGTGTTTGCGATGATAGGAGACGGCGGGATCCATGTTTTATTCAGACTCTCCAACAACATCCTCCATGATTTCTTCTTGCCAGTTTCGGCGCAAGGCATCCAGGAAATCCTGCACGCCGTCACCTTCCAGGAAGCTAGTAAGGTTCATGAGGGAGAGTCCGATTCGATGATCGGTCACGCGATCCTGCGCATAATTGTACGTTCGAATTTTCTCGCTGCGGTCCGCGGTGCGCACCAGATTACGGCGAGTAGCTCTGCGGTTTGCAATGTCTTGTGAGAGCTTTACGTCCATTAGGCGAGCACGAAGGACTTGGAAAGCACGACGCTTGTTCTGTTCAAATTATATGTTAGGGGTACCTTGGCGACAAGATGAGTCCAGGTTACCTGATGCTGACTGCGTTCATCTTGCATGGAAACAGTGATACCGGTGGGTGTATGGGTAAGACGGACTGCAGACTCTGTTTTGTTGACGTGCTGAAGACGGCGATCAAAGTCTATTACTCTATATGAAATCAAAAAGCCCACCTGTCCACCTGCACCGCGTGCACGCATTACCTCGACCTTCACATCCTCCATTTTGAAGAGTTCATCATTCCCGCTCACACTCTCAGCATCTTCGCTCAGTGGCAAAACCTGGAAGGGGGTACACATTACCCATGTTCCAATCGATTTTACTAGATACTCACAATCACTGCAACGGTACTTGTATGAGTCCGTCCACTCGACTCCGTTGCGGGGACGCGTTGTACACGATGTACACCGCTCTCCCACCTTAGTGCATCGTAAGCTCCTTCACCTTTAATCTCGAGGATAGCATCGCGCATCCCTCCGCTTTCTGTTTCGCTGCTCTGTATGATACTTGTTCGCCACCCGACCGAACCGGCGTACCGAACGTATACCCGCAAGAGGTCCAACAGGAATAGAGCTGCTTCAGACCCACCAACGCCGGCTTTCAATTCCAGCAGGGCATGTAAGTCGCGCGTGGACGATGGGGGAACGAGAAGAGAGGGAAACGTTGTAGATATGTGGGTGGATAGGGTATGAGTGAGGGAGGTGAATTCTTCCGATGCTAGGGTGCGCATGGTTGGGTCTGGATCTTGCATGAGGGGTAGTGTTTCTTCCAGGGACTACTGTGGTAGCATTGAGCCAGGGCTAACAGCGATAGGATGAGACATCACAAACCTGACGAGCGTGTGTCCAGTTTGACCATGCTTCGTGCAAGGGTTCTAATTCTTTGAGTTGACGTGCGCGTGTTATGTCTTCTGGAGAGGACATATCCTCAGACATCTGATGAATACTGAGTTGATAGTTCAGACTGCTGTTGATAGTGGTGGTCTTACGTTTGCTAGCAATTCATCCCTGAGTTTGACGCGTTTCTTTACAGCCTGAAGGATGCGAGCACCGTCTTGTTCGATTTTGTGGATGACATTGGAGGAAGCAGGATGAGCATCTGCGAGGTATGGACGGGTTCTAGAAAAGAAACGTCGGTAAGGTTTTAATGGACTATGGCAGCGGCACAGAAAACGGAACATGTGCGTAAAGACTCATGAAAGCCACTGAGCATGTTCTTAAAAAGGTTTTGTTTTGTTTAGAAGGTTTTGGCAAACAACCTTCGGATGAATTCGAAATTTTAAACTTTGCGGTGCACCCTCCATCATGCTCGTTCTACAACAGTGCAACAGTCTTGCCGTTTGGTACATAGTAATACTGTTGCATTGGTGTACTGTGGATTAGCAACTACAAGCAGCTTTTGACTCTGGCTTCTTAATTCTGGGGTTTTACTGGTCTTTCATCGACACTATGCCAGATAGTTACGATGAAGAATCAGCAAAGCCCCTTGATCTTCGACCACCGCGACAATTGGGGCGACCATATTCCTTCTATTTGGTCTGCCTATGGGAGATTACCTTTGAACTTTGTATCACGGCCCGCGCTTCATGGGTGGCACTGCTTCCATCCATATCTGAACCAAGAAGCCAACTCATGATCTTCAAGTCACCTGATACGTCTGTCTCATGTTAGGAGTACATGGTGCGCCGCCGCATGCAAGATCTGTGCGGAGATTCCCTGATTATCTATAAAACCCTCCAGGATCTGTCCCACCTCCCCGCTCGATCTATCCCCGAACCATCCAGTGCTGCCTATAAGGTAAGCTTGTTTCACTCCGAGATTCTGGATGTCAAAAATGACAGGTCATGTTTCAAGTCATGTCTGAACCATATCTCGACCGGTCCAGTGAGACCTGGTGGACCAATCGGGCTCGCTCTCGTAGTGTAGACCCCATTCAATTCGATGACGATCTTGAGCCAAGATCTGAGGTGCGTCTGCGACCTGTGGTGGATCGTTCTAAAGTGAATGTAATCGAGCAGGATCGTCCAGTAACTGGCAGAAACATCGTAATTTTCGGAGAGACTGGAGTCGGTAAAAGCTCCTTGATCAACCTGATTGCAGGCAAGGATATCGCCCCCACATCCCCAGATGCACTTCCCTGCACCACTGAAGAGCATGCCTACGAGGTCGACATACGTGGTCAGAGGTACACCCTGCATGATACAGTGGGCCTCGGGGAGGGAAGTCATGGACCAATGCCAACGGACGTGGCTCCCGCCAAAAAGTTGAAATATTTCCTGAGGAAGATGTCTCAAGAAAATGGTCTGCATCTTCTGGTCTACTGTGTGCGTGGGTCAAGGGCCACCAGAGCACTACGTCACAGTTATGAAACATTTGCTGCGGCGATTGCAGAGATGAAAGTTCCATGTCGTTCTTGCTGTGACATGCGTCGATGACCTGTCGGAAACAGGTGAATGGTGGAGGAGGAATGGGAAAACTGTGGAGAGCCTTGGGATCCGGTTTGATGCTCATGCTTGTATATGTACGCTTCCTGGAGACTCATACCGTGATCGCCGCTACCAGTCAAAAATCGACGTCTGCGAAAAAATCTCCGAATTATGCGACTATGATGGTGTTCGTGTGCGACGCCCACGACGCCAGAGGAGTTTGCCTTTTACGAGATGAAATTTAGTGTTTGTAGAATTACTTACTATATATATCTCACTGGTCTATTTTTTTCTGTGCTTGCTGTCAGTGACGTGTCGGAGCGGTTGTTTGGTTCCGAGGCCTTTGCCAAACACCCCTTTATGGGAATCAGGCTTTGCTTCGTCAATGGTTGGGCCTCACCGGCACGTGCACCACCTCTCGCTCAACCTCATGGATGTCATCCAGTCCATCCTGGTCCGTGCGATGGGCGACGAAGAGCCAGAACTACCGCCGGGATCACCTCCAACATGTAGGTTCAAACCAGAAGTAAACTTGTCAATCTCACAAACTTGCTACCTCTAGTCAAGTTCGAGGGTCCATGGTTTACGACACAAATCTTACTCTCTTCCATCATAGGACTATCATCTTTCCTTGTTTTCTCGTACTGTCGCAAGCGATGGCCATTGTTATTTGCACCAAGAACGATGCTGAAGGGTATGTTACATTGTTGCTAGGTAGTATGTGGTTGGAACTAATCTCCCTCAGACTTCTCACCGCACGAGGCACATGCTCACGAGGCATTTTTTGGGTGGATTGTTCCAACTATGAAAGTGTCCGAGTATACTGTGCTGCAAATTGTTGGATTGGACGCGGCAGTGGCAAGTTTGACACACAACGCGTATGCTAAGACATCACTCACGTGTCAAACAGCTCCTTAGCTTCCTCAAGACCTCCTTTTACCTCTTTTCTGTTTGCTCTTTATGTGCTGTCACGGTTCTTATGCCCATTAATTGGAATGTATGTATTTTTGCATGTCTGAGAAACACCGGTTCATGTTACTTGTAGAACAACATCGGCATTGGAGGAGGCACTGACGAGGATGATAGCGATTGGCCGGGATTGGTCACCACTGGTTTTGACGACGATCCTATGGCACCCGGACGGGAGTGGCTCGACCTCATCAGCGATGCTAACTCATATCTGACGATTCACTTTCTCTTTACGTACCTTTTCACTTTCCTGGCGTTGCGATTCCTTTATAGGAACTACCGTCGCTTCATTCGCTCGCGTCAGCTGTTCTCCCTCGAACTGGTTCATTCTATTCCCGGACGGACTGTCATGGTAACTAGCCTGCCTAACCATCTTCGGTCTGAGCGGGCTCTCGCTGAGTACTTTGAAAACATGGGGCTCAGCGTTGAGAGCGTGACGGTCTGCAGAGAAGTCGGTACCCTGAAAACCCTTATTGATCTTAGGACAAAAGCATTGCTAAAATTGGAGAGCGCATGGACGAATTACGTGGGGAATCCAAGCGTGGTGGAATCATACGACCCGTCCGAGAACGTCATTCCCCACTTCTCGGATGGAGAGCCGTCACTACTGGAAAATCAGCAGGGGCGTTTTGTCGTACCACATCGCCAGCGTCCGATTACGAGACCGGGATGGTTCTCCAGAAAAGTTGATGCACTTCAGTACCTCGAGACAAAGTTTACGGAGGCCGACGAGAAAGTCAGGAGGTGGCGTCGCATCGGGAAAACGAAGGCAACGCAAGTCGCTTTCGTTACATTCGAGAAGATGTCCAGTGCAGTAGGCGTCGAGTTTATTGACGCTTATGGCCCTCCACTAATTGCTCTATAGCAAATTGCTGTGCAAGCGGCGCATTCATTTGACCCAGGGGAAGTAAAAACCAACCCAGCCCCTGAACCGCGAGACATCGTTTGGTCGAACGTTACTCACACTCCAGGAAACCTCTTGGTTCGTGAGGTGTTTGTAATGGGTTGTGTATTACTACTGCTATTCACCTGGATATTCCCGATCACCGCGCTTGCGAGTCTGCTGAGCTACGAGGAGATCAAGAAATTGATGCCATGGCTTGGCAGGCTCATCGATAGCAACGACAAAATACGTGCTATTGTACAGAATTCATTGCCGTCTGTCGCCATGACTACGCTGAACGCACTTCTACCCTTTATCCTTGAAGGTGTGTTGTCCTACCGGACATTTGGCGCAGCTTATGATTGGCATGACTAGCTTTGACTTATATTCAGGGGTACAGAGCACGAAGCTTGATCGAATACTCTCTGATGCGGAAGTCAGTTCATTCCACTTGCCAGAAAATCCACTTTCTGAGACTTTGAAAGATACTTCTTGTTCCTCCTCATCAATGTGGTGTTCATCTTCCTTTTGGCGAGCACGTACTGGCAGTTGGTGCGCGAACTCGCCAACTCGCCTGCGAAGATCCCGGAAAAGCTAGCTACAGCGCTTCAACAAGGAAGGGCAAAGTAAGTGGCAGCATCTTTGTAATCTGTACCTTTTTATTTATGCACGTCCTTTAGGCACTTTTTCCTTTCGTATGTTATACTCCAAGGTGGGTATATACTCTTTCTGTTACTTGAGAGTGCTGAATTAGAACGACAGGTTTTGGTATCATGCCACTCCAGTTACTTAACCTGGGGGTGATAATACCCCGGATGATTTTACGCATGTTCAGGACTCGTACACCTCGAGGTAAGCACTTCTACGCGTCAATGGTAAACCTAATTCTTAGTCTGGATAGATTTCGCTGAGTTGAATGCCCCTCCCATGATTAACTATGGTGTCGTATACCCTCAAGCGATTCTCATTTTTGTTGTCACCATCCTGTACAGCGTCGTCCAGCCCTTGATTGTCATCTTTGGTGCAATCTATTTTGGAATTGCCTACTTCGTGTACAAGTACAAGTTGTTGTTTGGTGAGTAGATTCAAGCTCTGTTTCGCTGGAGGGTTTCTAAGCTCGCTGGTTCAGTGTTTTATAAGCCCTACGAATCTCAGGGTCAAGCATGGCCTCTCACGTTCGTCAGGCTCATCTGGGGCATACTCATTTTCCAAACGTTCATGATCGGCATCTTGACCTTGCGGAAATGCTATATTATGTCTTCTCTCCTTGTTCCGCTGCTTGCAGGTACCGCAATCTGGTCCTGGTACATCTATGAAACCTTCAAGCCTCTCAGCAGTGCAGTGTGTCTCAGTTCTGTGTGCGAGGTAGAGCGTGGCGAAGATTCAGCAGATGTAGTGAGGTTGCGGGAGGGGCACCCAGTGACATGGTCGCAGAGGTAATGTCCACAAATATTTCTGTTGGATCCTAATGCAAACCTCCTTTCAGCAATTTGATGCGTCGGAGATACGCACAAAACGACGATATGCTCTATGTTGCTCCAGAAGACGAACGGACGGACTACGTAGGTAATACGATATGCGGAAAGAACGTCTGACCTACTCCTCTTTCAGTCACAACCACCTATGGCTAATTGGTATAATGGCGTGTTGAAGTGAGTTACTTGTTTCGATTAATTACCACGTATTCATCCCTTATTTAGCACCGGGAAACGAAGATACGGACATCCTGCTCTGACTGGCGTGCTTCCTGAGCCCTGGCTTCCGTTGAAGAAAGGGCAAACCCTTGTCAATGGGCACCGTGCAGGAGGGTCAAGAGCGTCTCCATATGTCAACCAAGGCATCGTTCTCAACCTACGTAACCGCTACACCATGCTACGAGGAAAGATTCGGGCATCACGGCGATCTCGCCCCGCTACTGATGACACTCTTACCGAAATGAGTGCCTCTGAAAACCAGGATGGTGTTCCTCCTCCAGATGCTGGACCTTCAAACCCATGGGTGGATACACGCACGGCACGAGGATCTCAGCCGCATAGCAACGTCAATCACCGCTTGAGCTTCGATCCTGCTTCCGGTGTTATCATGTTACCAGAAGATGGTGATTGGTTGATAGACGACGACTCCGACGATGATTACGGGACTATGAGTCCTACGCCTGACACAGTCCACAGCCCGAGTAATGCATCTCAGGAGAACTTGTTATCTACTAACGGTCAATCGCCGTCCACACCTCTCGCTTCGCCCGGTAAGCGACGATATGGCACATATTACCATCACCCTGAGCGTCGTCGTACGATTCCTGGGTCTTTTCCCTTGCCAACATGAACACAATCTTACTTCCCTCGTATCCTAGATTTGCTTCCAACATGCCATATTGCGTTCCTACCTTACATGCTCTTGTGAAATTATGGATACTCGAAATTTATAAATATATTTCAAGAATGTGACGAAACGACATTTGAGTAAGGAGGCGCCCAAATTCGCATCATAGCATCTGTTGTATCACCATTTGTGGCAACCTGGCACCTCAATGCTTGTAACAAGGTCGGTCTTCTTGCTGATTTGTACATGGATGGACCATAGCACAAATCACCGGTCAACTGTCAATCGGGTGGCTGTGTTTCCGGAAGCATTCAGGCACGTCGCAACTCCTCAGATGCTTTGGACGAGCAGGAATCTTACTGACATTTTCGCGTACAGTAGCAAAAGCTGAATGCCCCTGCGGCATGCACGTACAGCCTCATGTGACCCATGCGATACGAGCATTTTGGTTCGGGCCTTCCTCGAACATCATCAGAGGCAAATCATAAGCTAGAGGCTGACACGATTCACTCAATGAAGGATTTCCAGTTCTATCATTGCACTGAGCTCGGACCGCACAATTATTCGTGCCCTGACGCACTGATTGAAGGTAGCGATCGATTTTCTCGCCGCAATTCAGATCAGGATGCACTGATCCTCTTCACCAGAACTGTTGTATGTTCGCCTGCATGATCGGTCCATCCTGTCAGGCCGACACGGAACTTCCGTATATCATTTCAACATAAAACTTATAAAGTCCCTCTGCCAAGGTATAAAGTCACCACACGTTCTCGCTCAACTTGTCCTACCCAGCAAATCTCTATTGACATGCAGCTTTCTTATTTGATCATCCTTGCCTGTTCCATCTTTATGGGCGTCAACGCCTCAGCTTCCCCAGCATTTGCCACTAAGGATTGCATCGGGAACTTGGAGGTCTGCGTGGAGGATCAGGACTGTTGCTCTGGCTGTTGCGTTGGTTATGTAGGTGGCCTCGAAAGCGGCTTATATATGGTCATTGATACTTGTGCCCTACACAGGTCTGTGTGCCTTGCTGAGTGTCGGTGAATCGTGGAGGCCATCCAGGCTTTCCGTCCCGCGGTAGGCGTTTCTGAGTTTTGTCTGACATGATACGTGATGTTGAATACGTGTAACTCAGGGACTTGCTTGATACTCCTTGACGTCGGTGGGACATTTGAGTAGATGAAGTTGTTGGATGTGACACTTGGTTCTCCTTTGTTGGGTTATATACAACTGATGGAAGTTCCTTGCGGTGTCATTCTCGTCTCAAAATGTGTAGGTACTACCTGTAATCACTCGCTCTTGATTGTGTGATAGATGAGGTCTGGTGGACAGAGAACCTTGACCGAAGAGGGATTGCGCTCTACCAGGCTACATTCATGTCACTTCTGAGCGCAAGGTCTCGAGGAGAAAGTTCCAACTCGCCAAGTCCGTCACGTACTCGGTTTCCTGGCACGTGAACATTTAAACACTTGTAACACGCCTCGCCGTCGCAAACTGTTGGGCGTGGACATAGAAACCAATCGAATATATTATTGTGTGTATACCGAAGACCCATCGTGGGCTTGTCAATTGGGGCATCATTCACGAGGGTTCTCATTATGCTGTTGAATCTGCACAAATATATGCTGTTGAATCTGCACAAATATTATTTGTGTCCCCCCGAAACAAAAATGTGTGACCCCTGGGAAAAATGTGTGCCCCCCCGAAAAAAATAGTGTTGCCCCGAGAAAAATGTGTCGCCCCAAAATTATATTATGTCTCCCCCCAATACAAAGCATGATTCCGACAATTTATGTATGTTTTTTTTATCATGGTAAGGCTCATTTCCACTCGGACTTACAAGAAATAAATCAATTAAAAAGATTGTAGTAAGAGACAGTTACTATGTACGATTAACAGAATATAAACCACAATAGAGAAAAGTGCATTTAAAAGGAGGGATAAATCTGTAGTGTCAGTTTGTGATAGGAAGTTGGGTATGACTTGGATGATATAGGTGCAAAATAATTACAAATTAAATGATAGGACCTAGAAATCAAAGAGACAATTTCCTTCCCATGGGTTATTGAGACTGGGATCAATAACAAAAGACCCAGAGGCCTGTAAGGTTGGTGTTGCAAAAATTTCACCAGTCTGTGATGGGGGTGTTGAGACAGGCCCAGGTGACTCAAAAGGCTCGAAAGGGGCAAGGTCAGCCTCCACTGCTACCTCTGGCTCGGCTACAACCTCATGATCGTCTAGCTTGAAGGAACTGAAGAAGTTATTAGGGTATTCATCATCACTTGCAGTTAAGTCAACTATAGTGGCTGATTTGGATAAGTTTTCAGAGTCTGATGCTGGCAGGATCTCATCGTCAGTTCCTGTCAATACTGATGTTCGTCATGAGTCTATTGACAATCAACAAACAAAACCAATGGACTGTACCTTGACAATATTTGCTTTTTTTGGGGGGCTTGGATAAGCTTGACTTGGATGAGGAGTTGTCATCTGAGTCATCAGATATGCTCTCAGACTCAGTGAGATCATGAGATGCAGATCTAGATGGGAGAGAGGGCATCTTATCCTTCCCTTTTGATTTCGCCCATCCTTGTAACACTGATGTTGGGATGCTCTGGTGAGTGGCTATGAAATAAGCTATCAGTAGTCTGTGTGAAGTGAATGAACTAAGGACTGACCTAGAATGACCACATTTTCTCGAAATCCACCTCTTGTTACGGTGAACTAGGATAGGCGCAACAACAGATACTCGATAAGAGTAACGTCTGAAGTTGGATCAAGACCTCACAAATGTAAGGCTTCTTAAGACAAGTCAAAGAGAGTGTCTTCGACTTGAATATCAGTATCAGACGACTTAGGATTGGAGGTCCTAAGCGAAAGATGTTTCAGGTGAGAACCTAGTAGATTAAAGTGAAGTTCTACTGAGTACATGGCTGAGTTTATATAGACGTAAGTACTTTAGGGCAGGTATGTATACGTCAGCGATGAGTCAGGAGTGAGTCATAGAGAAGAAGAGAATGAGTCATCTAGCGACGGCAGCAGCAATCGTGATGTAATACAGATATGGTAAGTCTAGTGATGGCACAACAATACGCGGTCGTGATGTAATACACAAGAGTAGAAGGAAAATGAATAGGGGTGAGTGTTTACTGTAACACCTCTCTTATTCATCCTTGCATTTCGTGCCACCGATGATCCATCAGGGAATTGGATACCAGGAGGGATTACGATTCTTTGCTTCTCCTTGACACAAAGATAGTATTGGGGCAGATATTGAAAGATCTCATCTTGGTGCTCCTCGTAATCTGGATTAGGCAACTTTGGCAAGGCATTGAGATAAAGGAAGAGTTGTGGGAAAAATTTGTGAAGCTCGAGGTCAAAGAGCATGAAAGACCAGTTCTTGCTGATGACAATACCATCAACATGATCTGTGATCACTAGTCTCATGACTTCAAGAGTCTGGACTTCCACCAGAGTTGGCATTTGAGGATTGTGAAGAACAGGTGTCAGAAGGGGGATGTATGAATGCAAGGTCTTCTTAGGCTAACAAGGTTAGAATCAGTAATCTCAGCCAATAGTAGTTGCAATATCAACTACTTACCTGTTTTGTCCCACAAGGAATGAAAATGATTTCGCCAGCTATAAACTGGAAGTCAAGAGGATGAGCTGACTTTGACTAGTAAAAAAGTATTCCAAGTCCATGGCATAAGCAACAACTCCTTTTCAAACATGCTGGCACTTACTTTGGGGACCACCTGGGCCTTAGACCTGCTGTGTGATTGAGAAGCAGACTTTAAACCTTGGTTGGCCTCACTATTGGCCTTTCTATAGGCAGTTGAAGATCCAGCTGAACCTCCGAGCAATTCCTGCAGAATAGAGTTAACTGCTAGTGTTGAGCTTGATTTTCTAGAGGTTTCCATCTGCTTAGACTCCAAGGTAGAAGGATGCAAATTGGAACCAGATGAAGTTTTATGAGAGCTGCTGGCTTGTCACTTATGCTTGAGAGCCATATGAAAGAATTGAAAAAAACAAAGAGTAGTGAAGGAGTGACTGGTAGAGACAGGACAGAAGTATTTGAAAAAAAGAAAGTTGATTGTAGATTGTAGTAGTATGAAAGTGATCATAATCGAATTCAACCACATTACCCATCATGTGATTTGTGGCTGCTCATGTCATATAATTGCATAGTCACTTTAAACTTAACATTGTCAATTCAGACTGATCACTCTTATATTGATAGTCTAGATATTGTAATTGTAATTAGCCATCAGAATCATCATGATCACCAACACTAGCAGTAGTACTATCTGTGTCACTATCTGATTCAACATCAGTACCAGCAAGCTCCAAAAGCCTGATCATAATATCAAGTGCTCGATACCACTGGATTGCCCTAGGTTGCCAAATAAAGTCAGGTAAGGGAATTTGTAGTTCTTTGGTACCTTGTTGTCCTGATTGAATTATTTCATGTGAAGGATACTCATCATCGTCCCATTCATGTGGAAGGATACCAAATCCATCTGGGATATGCTCTGCCTCTTGTACTTGATCAAGGGCTTGACAAAAGGTATCATAAAGAGTAGCAGAGTGAAAAGGACTGGCATGTTTTGGGACATGGACAGGCTTATGGTGAAAATGGGCATTGTGATCTGCAGCAATAAGCTGGGGAAGCTCTTGTAGATCTTCTGTACCAATGTCCTCTGCATCATTAATATCTTCCCATTCCTCTTCTGATTCTTCATCGTCTGATTCTCCATCAGTAGATCCAGAAGCTGAGTATACCTCATCTGAGGGATGACCTGCTCCAGTTTGATGGGGTGCACGATGAATAGGCCTTCCTGCAGTTCCATAGTATTGTCTGATGATATCAGGATGGACTCCTTCACAATCGTCAGCATATAGTCCATGCTTGAGCTGGCCTATAAGCCTCATATCCTGATAGATACAAAATCAAAATCAATTTATTTAGCTGGCTGTGTCTGAGCTATTAGATGACATACATTTGGGCTCTGATCATGTCCTTCTCTAGAGATAGGGTGTACATTCCATTCAGCTTGAAATGTGTTGCAGTCAGACTCAATCTGTCTGAGGAACAGCTCATGTAATAGCCAAAGATGCTGGGCATTAGATACATTGAGTCCATGAAGCCTCTTGAGCCAGTAGAAAAATGCATGCCACATGTGAGCAAATTGAGTGCCGACCTCAACCCAGGATCATTCAATCCTGCTGTTGTGAGTTGATCTAGCAAGCAGCAGATTTTAGAACAACTAATGTAAGTAATTAAAGTGTGGTTACTTATGATCCCCACATAAAGCTTGCATGGTTAGGCCCTCTAGTCATGATCATATAAACTGATACCTTCTTGTTTTCTCTGCCTCTATCACCTCATACTCTTGAAGGTGTACCATAGAGAGCAACTGCATTCAAAAACACCTCAAGCACTGTGGATGCACTATTGCTTGTGCTGGGATGAATGGCGACCATCTAAAAGTCAATATCTATCAGATATGGGTGGCTAGTCAAGAATAATAGCCTACTGTGCGACAATACCCATCAATGATACCATGGATTACGATACCCCAACGAATCAGCTTATGGTGACCATCCATGTGCCACAGAGCATTCGGCCGTGAAACCTTGTACTGTTGCCATTGAATCATAGTGCATTGTTGGAGGACAGTTCCTAAGGGATCAACATGGTGGATAGAGGCAGTAATACACTGCTGCTGTATCTGCAAGCCCAGCTGTCGTAGATGGCCAGTAAGATAGTGAACTCCAGAATTTGGTTTCATCTGATGAAACTCCCAAACAGCATGATCCAGGTCAGCATCCGAGATTAAGCTATACTTGTAGCTAACATTGTTCCGCTTCAAGTAGGAGTGCAAAGTATTACAGTGGATACCCATGACTTGTGCAAGTTTGGTTTGTTGTAGATGGCGACCAGGAGAGGCAAATTCATGCAACAACTGAACATTTGGCACCTTATGTGGTCTCCCTGGTTTTCCGGTGTGTTCAGTAGTGATTGGCTGTGGAACTGAAATATTTGATGTTTCACTGGCAAAGGACTAGATATTAGAACTACTGCAGTAAATATGGTAGGCTTACCCTCCTTGTGCTGTTGTTTCAGCCTGCTGCAGCTGCTTCAGTAGCATTCCAAGTTTTGCTGTGACTTGAAGAACCCAGGACATAGGAATGCCCTCTACCAAAGAAGAATTCTCCAGTGCATGTAGTAGTGGTATGGCATTATTGGCAATGGCCTCAGCATGAAAATGTATGTGGTGCAGTTCACTGCAAGTCTGGAGTGCTTGCAATGCATGACAATAGATATAGAACAGAGTGTCATGGGCTTGATGCAGATGATCAGGCCAGACACCTGAGCCATCAATAGGCTGTGGTAATGGAGGTAGATCCATTGTAGCTTGAGTCAGGTTAACACAGCACTTTGACCGATATTTGTTATGTAATCATCCAAGTGTTTACTGTTGTTGATTTGGTCAATCCATGGTGGGTGAGATGATATGAAGTTCATCTGGCCATTATACAAGCCCACCTAGTACTATCTGAAGCTCTTATCCACCATGGATGTCAATCAGAGATTGGTTCCTCACAGGCATGGTGAGTTTTGGTTCGGAGATGGAAACATTGTCTTTTGAGTAAGTTCTAAAGTGAATGTCTCTTGAGTTTTGCTCAATTTCTGGCTGGTTTCTGGATTACTTCTACCACAAACTAGCAATACCTTATTTTGTATACATTGAAGTGTACTTGTTCAGCATTCTCCTGCTTTGGAAGCAATTTTGGCTATGCCATCAAGTTATGATACTGATGGTACAGAGCAACTTCCCATTGTCCTACATCAGATCTCAGAGGAGGACTTTACATATTTTCTCAACTGGGTTTACCACATGTATGTGTAGCCATGATATAGATTGTATATTATAGAGTGGCTTAATTGGTGTGTTCTAGCAGCTCGATTTCTCCACCACCTGAGGAACAATTGCTTGTTGCTATCCTTAAGGTTTCGCACCTGTGGATGATAAGCAATAGCATCAAGTTCACTATTGATGGGCTGGAAAACCTTGCCCTGCAGCCTACTCGCAGACTAGAACTTGCTCGGTTATATTCCATACCCTGGTGGATTGCTCCGGCAATCTGCGAGATCATATCACTGTCACTTGTGAACACTACTGATACCAGGGCTGCTCAGATGGGGTTCAAAGTATATACAATTATCGCTCAGGCAAAAGAGGTGATAGAGCAAAAACAATGAGCATTGGCAGCTTACCCACCCTCACTCCTTGTTTCACCATCTTTCAGCTGCTCAACTCACTTACATAGCCGGTGCAAGGAGGCATGGTCAGGATTCTGGTGGAAGAAAGTAGCTTGTGCGATCCTCCACCCAACAAACCCACTCCCACTGGCACAGACCCTCCAACTCATCATTGAGGCCCCATTACCTGATGGTATGAATATTGCATGCAGACAAGCTATGGTTGATGCGATGATAGAATTAGATGGGCTCAAGGTCAAGGAGAGGATTATCAAGGGGGTCATAAGAGCAGTCACTTTGTATTTCAGCTCCCTGTAACATATTTCCAGTAGAAACTGTGGGTGTGACGATAGGTTGTTGCATAGAAGCCAGGATTTTATGTCAAAAAATCAAAAAAAAAAGCATAAATGTAATGAAAATGAGCAACAAATGATTAGAATAACCTCTACAGTGAATAACATGACATACCTACTCATGGGGGGGAGCTGATTCAGTTTGGCTGGAATGCAGGTCCCCACCATGCACATGTCTTTGGTCTGGTGAATAACCTTACCAATAAGAGGCTTTTGATGACTGCAAGGCAGGAGAAGGACTCTTGTGCTTTAGGAATTTTGGCTTTGAGCTGGAATTTGCTGGTAGCTAGTCTCCCTGCTGAGGTCAGTGCATCCTGTATCAAGGCAATTGATGGGGCAGGCCTGCCTTCCATGACCATCAAAGGTGATGGCTCAGGTGAGTGTCTTACATGTAATCTCCATGCTATGATAGGGACTCATATATGATACCTAGACTCTGGGTATACCCTGGACTTACCTAATGGTCCTCTCTGCTTTTCAACAGCTAAGCAGGCTCCCTCTGAGGGATACATGTCTCAAAACTACAAATCATAAGTGTGTTGCATCTCATTAGAGTCACTCTTGATGTCACCTCTAGCCCCATTCACACTGACCAACTCTATGCCCCATATGCAATGAACTGGGTTACTCTTCATAGTATCATGGATCCAGATCAATGCCAGCTTCATGGTGATTGTAGTTCTGGTGGGAATTATGTTGATGTCTCACTCAGGGTGGTGGTGAAATGTGCCACTGACACAGTCATGGTAAGTTTGTCTCTCTTTGTGATACAATATTTTTGTTGATAACATGTGTGACAGAGCATGCAACCCAAGTTCAAGCATGGTACGACCCTTGCTCGAGAGGGTGTCTGCAGGCAAGGAACTGCAATCAATTTCTCAAGGCACATTAAGAAAGCATTCGACAAGGCAATTGCAATTGAAGGTGATGTTAAAGCAATGGTGACTCAACTTGTAGAGGAGAAAAAGTGAAATTATGGATTGTATCAAGTAGTCTTCTAGTTGCATACAAACCGTTTGGAATTGCACTTTGTTTTTTGGGGGTGATATAATATTTTTCTTGGGGCGACACTATTTCTTTTGGGGGGAACACTATTTCTTTTGGGGGGAACACTATTTTTTTCGGGGGGGGGGCACACATTTTTTCAGGGGGACACACATTTTCTTGGTGGTCACACATTTTTGTTTCAGGGCAACACAAATAATATTTGTGTCCCCCCGAAACAAAAATGTGTGACCCCCGGGAAAAATGTGTGCCCCCCGAAAAAAATAGTGTTGCCCCAAAATTATATTATGTCTCCCCCCAAAACAAAGTATGATTCCAACAATTTATGTATGTTTTTTTTATCATGGTAAGGCTCATTTCCACTCGGACTTACAAGAAATAAATCAATTAAAAAGATTGTAGTAAGAGACAGTTACTATATACGATTAACAGAATATAAACCACAATAGAAAAGTGCATTTAAAAGGAGGAATAAATCTGTAGTGTCAGTTTGTGATAGGAAGTTGGGTATGACTTGGATGATATAGGTGCAAAATAATTACAAATTAAATGATAGGACCTAGAAATCAAAGAGACAACTTCCTTCCCATGGGTTATCAAGACTGGGATCAATAACAAAAGACCCAGAGGCCTGTAAGGTTGGTGTTGCAAAAATTTCACCAGTCTGTGATGGGGGTGTTGAGACAGGCCCAGGTGACTCAAAAGGCTCGAAAGGGGCAAGGTCAGCCTCCACTGCTACCTCTGGCTTGGCTACAACCTCATGATCATCTAGCTTGAAGGAACTGAAGAAGTTATCAGGGTATTCATTGTCACTTGCAGTTAAGTCAATTCATCAGCAAACTAGGATTTTCGCCACAAGCCTCACAGGCCTTACAAGCACTCACAGGGTTTCACAAGCATCACAAGGTTTCACATATTCCTCTTGTTTGAGTAAGCTTGTACATACTGTACATACTGTACAGAGACTTAAATTTTTGACCAAAATGATAGTTGTAGCCCTTATTAAGTGGAGCCTATCCATGGTCTCATGACATTTTTTGGTTAAGATCCCAATAAGTTATAAGCAAAATACTAGAAAGTGGTGGGTTCAAGAAAGTTAAGGCACAACTTATTTACATAAGCAAGAATGCGAAAATTCACTAAGTCTCTGCCAGCCACATCATGCAGCTTTGTTTGGCACTGCTTATATAAGCAAAAATGCGGTCAACCAAAGTCTTTCTCACTCACTGTCTTTCTCTAATAATTTTCAAGTGTTTGCCTCTCTTCTCTTCTTCTTTGATGTTGATGTTGATGTTGATGTTGGAGGTGGGTGGTGCTGGTACTGGTACTGGTGTTTTGAACTCTGGTGAGTCTTTTTCTCTTTCTTTGTGTTCAACTCTCTGACATTGTCTTCCTCCTCCTCTGTCTGGTAAGTTCCCTCTTTATAGCTATCTCCCTTCCTCTTCCTCCTCTAAGTTTCGCATTTTTGCCTCTTTGGTAAGTCTCTCTCTCTCTCTCTTCTTCTCCTTCCCTCTCTGATCCTCTCCTTCTAGCTCTCTTACCTCCTCCCCAACAACTTTCGCATGTTTGACTATTTGGTGAATCTTCTTAGTGAGTCTCTCCTCCCCTCTCCTTTTCTCCTTTTCTCCTTTGATTCTTCTTTTGACCTTAGATTTTCGCATTTTTGTCCAGTTTGGTAAGTTTAATCTTTAGTTAGTAGTGTACAGTGGCTCAAAAAACTGTCCACACATTTTTGCATTTTTTACTATTTACAATATTGTGTGAGAATATGTAAAGACCTCAGTGACATGCTGATACCATATTGTAGTGCTGCTTCAGGGCTTTAAATTGAGCACCACATCGTGAGAATCAGAGGAGATATGGTGGAGATACAAGGCTTACAAAATCATGACTCATGCGGACAGTTTTTTGAGCACATATTAAAACTATATAAATCATCATTTATGACACCATAACAATCATGCCACCATTAAATAAATTATAAAGTGGTGTCATTATGTCATTTTAAAACCATATCTAACTATACAAACCAAAAATTTCCATATGTCATGGTTATATTCACCATGAAAGCCACCCCCCCTGCTCAAAGGGATAATATCCTCTCTCTTTCCTATTCTGGCCTCTCTGCTTGTCCAATTTCCTCTAGAACTGGAGTATCCAAGTCCACTGTGGCCAAGTTCATCAAAGAAAGTCACACAGACAAGGAAAACTTCTGTGAAGGGCGTCCATCCAAGCTCACCTCTACTGATAGGAGGGCTATTATTCAACATATCACTACAGGAAAGGCTGATAATGCTGTCCAGGTCACCTATTACATCAATTCCACCATCACATTCCCTGTCTCTTCACACACTGTGAGAAACATTCTCAAGACAGCTCATCTCAGGTCAGTAACAAGGAAGAAAAGGCTCTCCTCTCTATCACACATAAACAGAGATAACTAACCTTTGCCTTAGCCCATCAGAATTGGATTACATGGACTGGAAGCATGTTATATGATCATATAAGACCACAATAAATAGGATTGGGTCAGATGGCAAGGTATATATGTGAAAAAAGAAGGGTGCTAGTCCTCTCTGCATATGTGTGATAGAGAGGAGAGCCTTTTCTTCCTTGTTACTGACCTGAGATGAGCTGTCTTGAGAATGTTTCTCACAGTGTGTGAAGAGACAGGGAATGTGATGGTGGAATTGATGTAATAGGTGACCTGGACAGCATTATCAGCCTTTCCTGTAGTGATATGTTGAATAATAGCCCTCCTATCAGTAGAGGTGAGCTTGGATGGACGCCCTTCACAGAAGTTTTCCTTGTCTGTGTGACTTTCTTTGATGAACTTGGCCACAGTGGACTTGGATACTCCAGTTCTAGAGGAAATTGGACAAGCAGAGAGGCCAGAATAGGAAAGAGAGAGGATATTATCCCTTTGAGCAGGGGGGGTGGCTTTCATGGTGAATATAACCATGACATATGGAAATTTTTGGTTTGTATAGTTAGATATGGTTTTAAAATGACATAATGACACCACTTTATAATTTATTTAATGGTGGCATGATTGTTATGGTGTCATAAATGATGATTTATATAGTTTTAATATGTGCTCAAAAAACTGTCCGCATGAGTCATGATTTTGTAAGCCTTGTATCTCCACCATATCTCCTCTGATTCTCACGATGTGGTGCTCAATTTAAAGCCCTGAAGCAGCACTACAATATGGTATCAGCATGTCACTGAGGTCTTTACATATTCTCACACAATATTGTAAATAGTAAAAAATGCAAAAATGTGTGGACAGTTTTTTGAGCCACTGTACAATGGATCTACCTCCATTACCACAACCTATTGATGGCTCAGGTGTCTGGCCTGATCATCTGTATCAAGCCCATGACACTCTGTTCTATATCTATCATCATGCATTGCAAGCACTCCAGACTTGCAGTGAACTGCACTGCATACGTTTTCATGCTGAGGCCATTGCCAATAATGCCATACCACTACTATGTGCACTGGAGAATTCTTCTTTGGTAGAGGGCATTCCTATGTCCTGGGTTCTTCAAGTCACAGCAAAACTTGGAATGCTACTGAAGCAGCTGCAGCAGGCTGAAACAACAGCACAGGGAGGGTAAGCCTACCATATGTACTGCAGTAGTTCTAATATCTAGTCCTTTGCCAGTGAAACATCAAATATTTCAGTTCCACAGCCAATCACTACTGAACACACTAGAAAACCAGGGAGACCATGTAAGGTGCCAAATGTTCAGTTGTTGCATGAATTTGCCTCTCCTGGTCGCCATCTACAACAAACCAAACTTGCATGAGTCATGGGTATCCACCATAATACTTTGCACTCCTACTTGAAGCAGAACAATGTTAGCTACAAGTATAGCTTAATCTCGGATGCTGACCTGGATCATGCTGTTTGGGGGTTTCATCAGATGAAACCAAATTCTGGAGTTTGCTATCTTACTGGCCATCTATGACAGCTGGGCTTGTGGATACAGCAGCAGTGTATTTCTGCCTCTATCCACCGTGTTGATCCCTTAGGAACTGTCCTCTGATAACACACTATGATTCAATGGCGACAGTACAAGGTTTCACAGCTGAATGCTCTGTGGCACATGGATGGTCACCATAAGCTGATTCGTTGGGGTATCGTAATCCATGGTATCATTGATGGGTATTGTCGCACAGTAGGCTATTATTCTTGACTAGCCACCCATATCTGATAGATATTGACTTTTAGATGGTCACCATTCATCCCAGCACAAGCAATAGTGCATTCACAGTGCTTGAGGTGTTTTTGAATGCAGTTGCTCTCTATGGTACACCTTCAAGAGTATGAGGTGATAGAGGTGGAGAAAACAAGAAGGTATCAGTTTATATGATCATGACTAGAGGGCTTAACCACACAAGCTTTATGTGGGGATTGTAAGTAACCACACTTTAATTGCTTACATTAGTTGTTCTAAAATCTGCTGCTTGCTAGATCAACTCACAACAGCAGGATTGAATGATCCTGGGTTGAGGTCGGCACTCAATTTGCTCACATGTGGTGTGCATTTTTCTACTGGCTTGAGAGGCTTACTCAGACACAATTATGATTATGTAACATGGATTATGTCATGTTCATCGGTATAACTTAGAGCTACCTTCATACATATTCAGGTCATCTGGTACCATGCCTCCAAGGAAGAAGCCCAGATGTTCTTCTCCAGATCTAGAGGCACCTGCTTGCTGAAGCTCAAGACCTAACCATGGTATTGGTGGTCATGCAGCACAGCTGCAAAGAGTTGGAGAAACAGTTGCTGCCCCAACAAGGAAGGGACCAAAGGGCGATGACCTTCAAATCAGCAGCTCAGAAGAGAATCCTATGGCTCCTTCGCAGCTTCAGAAAGGAAAGAAAAAATGTAATGTGAATCTTTTAAAATTATGTTCAAGCTAATTTTTTCAGCCTCCTGCAAAACCTCACAGCACTGCTAAGAAAACCCCAAATGAATGCAGAATGACAGAAAATAGCCAGCATTCTCAGGCTCCCACTTTCCGTCCGAATCAATACATGGCTCACTCTTCTGAAAGGTTTGGATTCAAGGAACCTTGGTCTAATGGTCGCAAAACAGCTGAAAGGAACGTGGGTAAGTGAGATGCAGGTCATGAGAGGGAGTCTACAGAACATGATAGTGGTTGCGAGAAGGAGAGGCAGAATATGGAGGATTACAGGGAGTTTGTGCCAAGCTCTCATGAAGGTGATACTTCTGACGACAATGCTGACTGTGATGATGATCCTGACAGTAACACGCCAATGTAAGTGTTCTTTGGTCTATCAATTGTGTTATTCCTGATATTATGTTCTCATTGCAGGGACAGATATGCTGGTCAGCACACACACCAGCGAATGGATGATGCAGATGATGGAATGGATTTCGACAAAAATATGGATTGACCTCATCCTGACAATGAAGCTCAAGGAGGTGTTGAACCAGTAGCCTTGAATGACAAGCTCACAGACCCAGAGCAGGATGAAGTATCTACATTTTTTCTTCTCTATTCTTGCATTAATTATTTGTACTCAAGGCTTACAATGTTCTCAAGTGCCACCATGCAAAGAACAGGCAGTGAAAAGCTCCTTCACCAACCTATCTGTTGAAGGGGAAGGGAAAGGAATGGGCATGCACTTTTAAGCTGCCTGGAGGAGCTTCTACTGTTCAAGTGGTTCATAGACACTCACCTACACTTCACTCACATCCCTCTCGTTCAAAGTCTCCATGTCAACAATCATCTCAGCAAGACAGATACATATGCACTTCATCCTCACATACACAGTCTCCTCTTCAGCACCCATCTCAACCAATCACTTCCTCAAGTTGCAGTCATACACAGCCCACATCTCATAGGAGCTCTCCACCACATTCTCCATCTGACCCTATTCTACCTTCAAGCCATGAATGTTCTCATACCTCTACACCTGAAGATGCTCATCAATCCGGCAACAGCAAACAAAAGGTCAAGACAAACCAAGAGGATCCCTCGAAGCTAGGATTTTATCTGCCCACTTGGCAAACATTCCTGCAGATGGCCAAGTTAGAGATGCAGTTGCAGGCTGTTCTAGCTACTCCAGTTCTGGAATCCCAGGAAGCCCTTAACCTTGCAAGAGAAGTCTTGGACACTGTGCTATGGACATACCATGAGAAGAAGATTAAACTCGAGAGAGGTATGTTCTCCCTACTCCACTGTCTACCCTTCTCACCATTTGCAAGGCTACTTTCCAGAGTACAGCACACAGATGTGCTGGCTGGTATGTTCTTTGTTTATTGTTACAGTCACATATGCCCCTATTCATTTTCTCCTTACTACCCTTGTATTATATCATGAGCTGCATGATGCCACTGCTAGGCCTGTCTCCTATATTTGTATTACATCACGATCGCCATTGCTGTCACTAGATGACTCATTTCTGACTCGTTTCTTATCTCTGACTCATTGTTGACTTATGCCTGCCCTGAATCGTCTATAGTCATATATATAGTCAACAATGTACTTAGTAGTTCTTTACTTTAATCTTACTAGGTTTTCACCTGAATATTCTCTTGCTTAGGACCTCCAATCCTAAGTCATCTGAACCAATATTCAAGCCAAAGACACTCTTTGTCTTGTCTTACAACCCTTGCATTTGCAAGGTCTTGACTATAACTTCAGCTGTCACTCTTATCAAGCTGCTGTTGTTACAACCATCCTAGTTTGTAACATTTATTGATGGCTCATGCGCTCACTGATACCATGTCCATGAGCTTTGCAATGATCTCTTTACATTTCACACAGAACTCAAGAAAATTGACATCTCTATTGCCAAAAGGGCATACAATATCTTCCTGCAGGGCTCCACAATGTGAAAGGAGGAATGTCAAAGGCAGGTCACTGCAGCCGCCACTAGGCTCCTCAAGAGTGGTGACTACCTCCAGCTCCCTAACTTGTCTGGTATAGGTTGCGATTCCTAGTCATAGCATCATTTAAAATGAATTTTTGCAGGGAAATTTCAAGAACTTCACAGTGCAGGCTCTCAAGGATGCTTGTCTCAAATTCTACTACAGCAACAGCAAGAAAGCATTAAAGAACATGGATGAATTCCACCAAACAATCCCCATTAATGCAATGCTTCTTGTAGCAGCAGTGGTATGCTTACAATTCTTTATTTTTTCATCGCTGATAGTTCGACAGTTGAAGGGTGTTATCTTTGGCTTTCATGAGACTGGCACCGACAAGGTTCCTGAATTAACCGCTGAGCAATGTAGGGCCCACTTCGTCAACTTACAGAAATTGATTGACACCCTGCTCAACATTCCAGAGTGTTGTGAAGAGCTTGAAGACATGTTGGAGCAATGGGCTAGGATTGGCATGGGGGATTTCAATGAGTATGCAGATGGGAGTGCAAGTGATGCGGAGGACATTAATATCATACTTTAGTAGTGCTCTGATCAATATGCCATGTTATTTTCGTTAGACAATCATTATCACAGTTTGGATCATGTTTACTGTGTGAAACTGGAATTAAATGTATCCTTTGTATGGTCTGTATTGTGTGTGCAGTCTGTATCATGTGTGCAGTTTGTCTGCATTGTAACAAGATGTACAGATTGTAGGGGTATGTGACAGTATTGTAAAGGGGGGACTTCCTTGTGTAATTGTAATGCTTGTACAATACTGTACAATCTTGTACACTATTGTACAGGTGCCCCCTAGTTTGCTGATGAATTCATGGTGGGTGAGATGATATGAAGTTCATCTGGCCATTATACAAGCCCACCTAGTACTATCTGAAGCTCTTATCCACCATGGATGTCAATCAGAGATTGGTTCCTCACAGGCATGGTGAGTTTTGGTTCGGAGATGGAAACATTGTCTTTTGAGTAAGTTCTAAAGTGAATGTCTCTTGAGTTTTGCTCAATTTCTGGCTGGTTTCTGGATTACTTCTACCACAAACTAGCAATACCTTATTTTGTATACATTGAAGTGTACTTGTTCAGCATTCTCCTGCTTTGGAAGCAATTTTGGCTATGCCCTCAGGTTACAATACTGATGGTACAGAGCAACTTCCCATCATCCTACATCAGATCTCAGAGGAGGACTTTACATATTTTCTCAACTGGGTTTACCACATGTATGTGCAGTCATGATATAGATTGTATATTATAGAGTGGCTTAATTGGTGTGTTCTAGCAGCCTGATTCCTCCATCACCTGAGGAACATTTGCTTGTTGCTATCCTTAAGGTTTCACACCTGTGGATGATAAGCAATAGCATCAAGTTCACTATTGATGGGCTGGAAAACTTCACCCTGCAGCCTACTCGCAGACTAGAACTTGCTCGGTTATATTCCATACCCCAGTGGATCACTCCAGCAATCTGCAAGATCATATCACTGTCACTTGTAAACACTACCGATACTGAGGCTGCTCAGATGGGGTTCAAAGTATATACAATTATCACTCAGGCAAAAGAGGTGATAGAGCGAAAATGACAAGCATTGGCAGCTTACCCACCCTCACTCCTTGTTTCACCATCTTTCAGCTGCTTGACTTGCTTACATAGTGTCATATCCCACAATCCGGACCCACGTTCCATCATATTCCCACGCCTTCCAAGCCTACATCCAGACCCCATTTCATATCCAGCTCATTCCCAGATCCCCTCCCACTGTGCTCCACACCTCAGCAGGATTGACTACGCTCCTGATTTACCCCTGAGCTCCAGACCTCCGGATCCTCACTGCTAGCCTGATCCGTACAACCCTATCCTGTCCACCCTATGCGCACTCCATCCAGCAAGACATCCAGACTTCACCTCATCTTGGATTCCAGACTATATCCACCTTCTTGTATTCCGGTCCTGTATCCACCTTGTCTTCCAGATCCCCAGATCTCTGGACCTCTGGATATTAATGCTGGACCTATTCCCACCCTCTGTCCGAGATCCTGCGCCTATCCCCATTTAGGCATCTCTACCTTTCCGGCTTTCGGTTACCTCTTCTTCTGTCTTGCTTATTGATCCTTGTACAAGTCTTCATCTCCAAGTTCATTTACTTATGTTCCATCTTACTTACTAATGTGTTTCCACATGCTTGTACATAGCCCTGCTCCTTTGCTTATTGATCCCCTCAGATATTCTCCAGTATATAACCCCTGTAGATACTCCTGTAGTTTCCTTAGTTTAAATATCAACTTAGACTTGCCCAATCCTCTCTCAGACTTTGTTCCACCTAAGTCTGTCCTACCATCAGGCCTAGGGATTGATTCCCTAGGCCGGAGCTCCGCCTTTCTGGCACTTACCCTCTTTCTGGACTTAGGTCCAACCCTCGTCTCTCCAACTCTACCTTAGGGTAGTCTACCTCTGTTTGTTTCTACATCGGACTTCATCCGATGTAGCCCCTATTCCTTCCGGACCTCTGGACCTCCTGTCCCTTGTACCTCCGGGCATCCTGTCCTTCGGATGTTCCATCCTCCTAACCCTCGGACATCCTGTCCTCCTGTCCTCCTGCCCTCCTGTCCTCCAGACCTTCAGACCTCCTATCCTTCCATCCTGTTTCCTGTAGAAGTATTACCTTGCAGTGGGAACTCTCCTGAGCACTTCCTGTGTTTCTCCGGAACTCTCCCATGCTCCTCCGGACGTTTCCCATGCTCCTCCGGAAGTCCTCTAGCGCTCTCCAGCAGAGTAGCCAGCCTCCGGAAGTCCTCTGGACTTCGTCAGACCATCATTGGACCTCATACGAAATGAAGGGCACATACTCAGGTAAGGGGCACAGTGTATGAGCTGAGGCCAAGCCCCTCTGAGTCAGTCTCTCTCCTTTGAGCAACATGGTTCTTAACACATAGCCAGTGCAAGGAGGCATGGTCAGGATTCTGGTGGAAGAAAGTAGCTCGTGCAATCCTCCACCCAACAAACCCACTCCCACTGGCACAGACCCTCCAACTCATCATTGAGGCCCCATTACCTGATGGTATGAATATTGCATGCAGACAAGCTATGGTTGATGCAATGATAGAATTAGATGGGCTCGAGGTCAAGGAGAGGATTATCAAGGGGGTCATAAGAGCAGTCACTTTGTATTTCAGCTCCCTGTAACATATTTCTAGTAGAAACTGTGGGTGTGACGATAGGTTGTTGCATAGAAGCCAGGATTTTATGTCAAAAAATCAAAAAAAGCATAAATGTAATGAAAATGAGCAACAAACAATTAGGATAACCTCTACAGTGAATAACATGACATACCTACTCATGGGGGGGAGCTGAATGGCAGAGCTTCCTGGCTAAATCCTGCATAGCATCACAACAGGGACCAAGTTACCACTACACTATCCAGCAGATACTGTAGAAATAATTAATTAATATATGTCATATGAAAAGTGCCAAAATTGCGAAAATGGTCAGCCATTCTGCTGCTGACTACTACACTTTCAACCACCACCATGGCCTCACAATCAAGAAATCCTACCCATCTGAGACAATGTATGTGATATTTTACCATCATTATCTAGGCTAATATACTGGTGGTGCATAGACTTTGAGCATCTAGCTGGAAGTACATGCTTTATGTATGCACTTGTTAAGGTCGTACTCAAGGGTTAACAGATCCTAAGGGCTTCAGCCTCGGCTCGTGCGCTGTGCCCCTTACTTGAGTATTGCCCCTTATTTCAGGAAGGCAAGACTAACACATCTGGAGGGTCAGACAGGTAGTGTAACAGATCTGGATGACTTCCTGATGAGGGATAAGTATTGTAAGACTAATCCGGATGAGTCCAGACTAGAAACTAGTGGTAATGGCTGTTGTAGACAGAGGTGGATGCAGATAGACTATAGGAATCAATCCTAAGTCTTGGAGGGTGATGAGAGTAGTGGCACTCAGGTCCGGAGGATGGGAATGAGCAGAACTAAGTTGATATTTGAACTGAGGTACTACAGAGAGTTACAGGAGGTTATATACTATAGGTATCTAATGGAATGATCAATCAGCAGGGTCTGAGGCTATGTACGAAGCATATGGATAGTCTATTGGTAAGTAGAAACAGATCACAAATAATGAAATGGAAATGAAGCATAGGTAATGGATCAGTGAGCAGGATGGATATACCAATAACCAAAATACTGGAGTTAGGGGATTACTGAAAGGAGATGAGCGCTGGTTGTGGATTTGGATGAAGTGTAGACCAGACTGGACAAGTGGACAGATTGGATGATGAGATGTTGGAGGGTGATAAGATGTAGATAGGATCTGAGATAAGATGTGGATTGGATCTGAGATAAGATGTGGATTGGATCTGAGATGAGATAAGGATTGGATCTGAGATCCGGATATGCGGATATGACAGCACTTAAGATTAGATCAGATCTTGATAAGGATCTTCTCGCTTTTGGGGATGATCCAGGCCTTGCAAAATCTGTAAGTATGTTTCTATTACAATATCTATGCTAAGATCTGAGTGTTTGTATATCCAGGCTAGTCATCTGCAGCTCCTGGCTACCAAGAATGCTGCATTGGTGCCAGAATCTCTCAAGGAGGTTGTCATATCCGCATATCCAGATCTCAGATCCAATCCTTATCTCATCTCAGATCCAATCCACATCTTATCTCAGATCCTATCCACATCTTATCACCCTCCAACATCTCATCATCCAATCTGTCCACTTGTCCAGTCTGGTCTACACTTCATCCAAATCCACAACCAGCGCTCATCTCCTTTCAGTAATCCCCTAACTCCAGTATTTTGGTTATTGGTATATCCATCCTGCTCACTGATCCATTACCTATGCTTCATTTCCATTTCATTATTTGTGATCTGTTTCTACTTACCAATAGACTATCCATATGCTTCATACATAGCCTCAGACCCTGCTGATTGATCATTCCATTAGATACCTATAGTATATAACCTCCTGTAACTCTCTGTAACACCTCAGTTCGAATATCATCTTAGTTCTACTCATTCCTGTCCTCTGGACTTGAGTACCTCTACTCTTATCACCCTCCAAGACTTAGGATTGATTCCTATAGTCTATCCATATTTGCCTCTGTTTACAGCAGTCCACTACTGTTAGTTTCTAGTCTGGACTCATCTGGATTAGCCCTACAATACTTATCCTGCATCTGGAAGTCATCTGGATCCACTACGCTACTTGTCTGACCCTCCAGACGCATTAGTCTTGCCCTTCTGAAATAAGGGGCAATACTCAGGTAAGGGGCACAGCACACGAGCTGAGGCCGAAGCCCTTAGGATCTGTTAGCCCTTGAGTATGACCTTAACAGAGGCTCTCAGTGAGTATTCCCTCCATCACCACAGAAAGAGGAATGTGGCTCACTCTAAGAAACAAACCATTGTGAGTGTTCTCTCTGCTGTTGCTGAATTATTTTACACTGTACTTGATGGGCAAAGGCTCTTGGCCTACATGCTACCCCACTGACAGCCCAGTCTCTTGCAGCCACTGGTATGGTCAAAGTGGTCATTCATGATTGCTTTGATGACACCAGCTTTAAGTGGGGCACTCTTTTAGTGGACTGTGGCAATGAGGATCTGGTTGACAGTGGGAGTTCCGCCCTTTCTGTTCCTGTTGATGGTTCTTGGTATGTGATTGAACCAGATGAAAGCATTATTTTCATTGATTCCAATGATATGAATGGTCTTTTTGTCTTTCATGTCTGACTTGTTTAGTATATAGGTTTGGTCTCACTTGCTGTACTCCGTGGGAAGTGTAGCCAGTGTCCTGACCTGTTGACTTATGTCAACAATATCATCAATGAGGCTGTCAATGACTGCAAGGGAGTCAGGGTGAGTTTTTTCCCATCTCAATTCAGTATATGTTTCTGACAGGTTGGATAGCCTACTCATGGGGGGGAGCTGATTCAGTTTGGCTGGAATGCAGGTCCCCACCATGCACATGTCTTTGGTCTGGTGAATAACCTTACCAATAAGAGGCTTTTGATGGCTGCAAGGTAGGAGAAGGACTCTCGTGCTTTAGGAATTTTGGCTTTAAGCTGGAATTTGCTGGTAGCTAGTCTCCCTGCTGAGGTCAGTGCATCCTGTATCAAGGCAATTGATGGGGCAGGCCTGCCTTCCATGACCATCAAAGGCAATGGCTCAGGTGAATATCTTACATGTAGTCTCCATGCTATGATAGGGACTCATATATGATACCTAGACTCTGGGTATACCCTGGACTTACCTAATGGTCCTCTCTGCTTTTCAACAGCTAAGCAGGCTCCCTCTGAGGGATACATGTCTCAAAACTACAAATCATAAGTGTGTTGCATCTCATTAGAGTCACTCTTGATGTCACCTCTAGCCCCATTCACACTGACCAACTCTATGCCCCATATGCAATGAACTGGGTTACTCTTCATAGTATCATGGATCCAGATCAATGCCAGCTTCATGGTGATTGTAGTTCTGGTGGGAATTATGTTGATGTCTCACTCAGGGTGGTGGTGAAATGTGCCACTGACACAGTCATGGTAAGTTTGTCTCTCTTTGTGATACAATATTTTTGTTGATAACATGTGTGACAGAGCATGCAACCCAAGTTCAAGCATGGTACGACCCTCACTCAAGAGGGTGTCTGCAGGCAAGGAACTGCAATCAATTTCTTGAGGCACATTAAGAAAGCATTCAATGAGGCAATTGCAATTGAAGGTGATGTTAAAGCAATGGTGACTCAACTTGTAGAGGAGAAAAAGTGAAATTATGGATTGTATCAAGTAGTCTTCTAGTTGCATACAAACCGTTTGGAATCGCACTTTGTTTTTCAGGGGTGACATAATATTTTTCTCAGGGAGACACTATTTCTTTTGGGGGCAACACTATTTTTTTTTGGGGGGGCACACATTTTTTTGGGGGGACACACATTTTCTTGGTGGTCACACATTTTCTCGGTGGTCACACATTTTTGTTTTGGGGTGACACAAATAATATTTGTGCAGATTCAACAACATACTCAGAAAGTGATTGTAGTCATGGCAGTTCCTTTGTCAGAGTCAACCAAAAGCCTGTTGAACTCTGAGAGATCTGAGATGAAGAAGACCGAAGGATCCAAGATAGCGATGGATAGTGAGTGCATCAGGAAAACCATTGGCTGGTTTTTCCCACTTATGTCACTTTTTGCCCCTTGATATTTGGTAAATGCAAGTCAAAACACTACTTTTCCAACTTAATAGACTTTTGCAAAAGCAAATTCAGGGTGCACCCAGGCAGATCACCAAAAAGCAAGAAAAGTTGTATTAAGCATAATAAGTCATAAATGATAATACTACTGCTACTAGTAGTACCACAAAAATGTGTTGGCCAGTATGTTTCTGAGGGGAAGAATAGTGATGCATTGGGCCTGGCCTGAGGCCCTTTGGGCTGAGCCTTCATAGGCCAGGCCAAAGCCAGGCCCAAGGTGAGGGCCTTATAGGGCTTTGGGCCTGGCCTGTGAGTTGGACAGGCCTGAGCCCAGGGCTCAGGCCCAGGCTTCCCAGTTTGGAAGCACCTGCAGCATATTCCATCTTGATGTACAGTTTATGTGCCACTGGTGAGTGATTCTTTGTGTGACTAATCTACTGGCAGAACATGATGTATTGTACTGATGCCTCTCACAGTGATCTCCAATGACAACACACCTGCCACCGTCACTGTGCAAGCCAAACTATTAAGAACCATGCTCAAGGGAGAGAGAGACTGACTCAGAGGGGCTTGGCCTCAGCTCATATGCTGTGCCCCTTACCTGAGTATGTGCCCTTCATTTCAGAGGAAGTCTGATGATGGTCCAACGAAGTCCGGAGGACTTCTGGAGGAGCATGGGAAATGTCCAGAGGAGTGCGGGAGAGTTCCTGAGGAATGCAGGAAGTGCTCAGGAGAGTTCCCACTGCAAGGTAATACTTCTACAGGAAACAGGATGGAAGGATAGGAGGTCCAGAGGACAGGAGGACAGGAGGACAGGAGGACTGAAGGTCTGGAGGTCTGGAGGACAGGATGTCCAAGGGTTAGGAGGATGGAACGTCCGAAGGTATGGAGGGCGGAATGTCCAAAGGACAGGATGCCTGGAGGTACAAGGGACAGGATGTCCAGAGGTACAGAAGACAGGACATCCAGAGGTCTGGAAGGAATAGGGGCTACATCAGATGAAGTCCAATGTAGAAGCAAACAGAGGTAGACTACCCTAAGGTAGAGTCAGAGGGACAGGAAGTGGACCAAAGTCCGGAGAGAGAGTGAGTGCCAGAAAGGCAAGACTCCAGCCTAGGGAAGCAATCCCTAGACTTGGGACAGAGACATAGGGGACAAATCCGAAGGTCCAGAATTCTGGCCTAGGCAATCCTTTCCTAGGCCTTATGGAAAAGGACAAACTCAGATGGACTGAAGTCCAGAAGAAGATTGGGCAAATAGAACAAGATCTAAGATGATATTCTGACTGAGGACTCTACAGGAGTTGTACAGGGGTTATATACTAGAGGATATCCAAGAGGATCAGTAAGCAACAGAGTAAGGCTATGTACAAGCATCTGGAAACACATTGGTAAGTAAGATGGAACATAACTAAATGAACTTGGAGATGAAGACTCATACAAGGATCAATCAGCAAGTGTCATATCCCACAATCCGGACCCACATCCCATCATATTCCCACGCCTTCCGAGCCTACATCCGGACCACACTTCATATCCAACTCATTCCCAGATCCCCTTCCACTGTGTGCTCCACACCTCAGCAGGATCGACTACGCTCCTGATTTACCCCTGAGCTCTGGACCATCGGATCACCACTGCTAGCCTGAACCATAACCCCCTGTCACATCCACCCTATGTACACTCCATCCAGCAAGACATTCGGACCTCACCTCATCTCGGATTCTGGACTCTATCCACCTTCTCATATCCTGGTCCTGTATCCACCTTGTCTTCCAGATCCCCAGATCTCTGGACCTCCGGATATTAACTCCGGACCTATTCCCACCCTCTGTCCGATATCCTGCGCCTATCCCCATTTAGGCATTCTCTGCCTTCCAGCTTTCAGTTACCTCTTGTTCCGTCTTGCTTATTGATCCTTGTACAAGTCCTCATCTCCGAGTTCATTTACTTATGTTCCAACTTACTTACTAATGTGTTTCCACATGCTTGTACATAGCCTTGCTCCTTTGCTTACTGATCCCCTCAGATATTGTTCAGTATATAACCCCTGTAGATACTCCTGTAGTTCCTCAGTTTGAATATCAACTTAGACTTGCCCAATGCTCTCTCGGACTTTGGTCCAGCTAAGTCTGTCCTACCCATCAGGCCTAGGGATTGTTTCCCTAGGCTGGAGCTCCGCCTTTCCGGCACTTACCCTCTTTCTGGACTTAGGTCCAATCCCTGTCCCTCTGACTCTACCTTAGGGTAGTCTACCTCTGTTTGTTTCTACATTGGATGAAGTCCGATGTAGCCCCTATTCCTTCTGGACCTCTGGACCACCTGTCCCTTGTACCTCCGGGCATCCTGTCCTTCGGACATTCCACCCTCTGTACCTTCGGACGTTCTGTCCTCCTAACCCTCAGACATCCTATCCTCCTGTCCTTTGGACATCCTGCCCTCTGTACCTTCAGACATCCTGTCCTTCATACCTCCAGGACATCCTGTCCCTCTGTCCTCTGTCATCCTGCCCTCCTGCCCTCCTGTCCTCCTGTCCTCCTGTCCTCCTGTCCTCCTGTCCTCCTGCCCTCCTGTCCTCCTGTCCTCCTGCCCTCCTGTCCTCTGGACCTTTGGACCTCCTATCCCTCCATCCTGTTTCCTGTAGAAGTATTACCTTGCAGTGGGAACTCTCCTGAGCACTTCCTGCGTTTCTCCGGAACTCTCCCGCGCTCCTCCGGATGTTTCCCACACTCCTCCAGAAGTCCTCTAGCGCTCTCCAGCAGAGTAGCCAGCCTCCGGAAGTCCTCCGGACTTCATTGGACCATCATCGGACCTCATACGAAATGAAGGGCACATACTCGGGTAAGGGGCACAGTGTATGAGCTGAGGCCAAGCCCCTCTGAGTCAGTCTCTCCCCCTTGAGCAACATGGTTCTTAACAGCAAGACAGAAACAGAGATAACCGAGAACCAGAAAGGCAGAGATGCCTAAATGGGGATAGGCGCAGGATCTCAGATGGAGGGTGGGAATAGGTCTGGAGATCTGGGGATCCAGAAGGCAGGGTGGAAACAGGACTGAGATATGTGAGGTGGTGGATGTAGTCCAGAATCTGAGAGGAGATAAAGTCTGGATGTCTTGCTGGATGGAATGTGCATAGGGTGGACAGGATAGGGGAGTACAGATCAGGCTAGTAGTGAGGATCCGGAGGTCCAGAGCTCAGGGGTAATTCCGGAGCAGATCTAATCCTGCTTAGATATGGAGCACACAGTGGAAGGGGATCTGGGAATGAGTCAGATATGGGGTTCGGAAATAGGTCCAGAAAGTGTGGGAATATGATGGGATCTATGTCTGGCGTACAGGATATGACACAAGCACACTATCATTCCATCATCTCATCTTACCAACTCTAACAACACCGCAACACCAGAACTCCACAGTCACAAAAACATTCAACAAACTCTCCAACCTACAGCTATCAGCAACTTGCTTGGCACCAACCCAAGACATGCTGGCAAGCACAATTTGGCAGATGCAGACTGGACTCCTTCCTTGATGGAAGACTTAGTGGAGTTGTCCAGTGAAGGTGTCATATGCCATTCTGGACTCTCAACTCTAAATCCGCTTCTCCAGATCTCAAATGATCTGATCTATCTTTATCTCCCTTCCGGAATCCAAACCCTATATCAGCACCCAACTCCATTTAGACTGCCCCTGTCTCCGGACTCTGGTTAACCATGTTTCCCTTTTGATTATTGATCCATTACATACATTTCATTTCCGGTGTTCATTATTTGTGATCCATCCTACTTACTAATAGACTTTGCATATGCTTCGTACATAGCCTTTATGTTTGCTGACTGATTCCTATATGATACCTATAGTATATAAACCTCCTGTAACTCTCAGAAATACTCCAGTTCAAATATCATCTTAGTTCCTGCTCATTCCTGTGTCCTCCGGACTCGAGATAAGTCTCTTGTCATATTCCAAGTCTTAGGATTGCATCCTAGACTACATTTCCGACTCTACCTTAAGGGTAGTCCATCCTCTGTTAGTTTCTAGTCTGGACTTCGTCCGGATTAGTCTTATCCACTTGCCCAGGTAATATCCAGACATCTGTCGGATTTATCTCACGTTTCAGATCTGGATGTCCATTATCCACCCTAGTCAAATCCCAGAAACTCCGGACGACTGTTCTAGCCCCCAGAAATTAAGGGCACATACTCGGGAAAGGGGCACAGCGTACAAGCTGAGGCCAAGCCCTTGTGATCTGACCCCCTTGAGCACATGACCTTAACAGTATATTTGAACTCACACCTTTCCAAGTATACTTACATCTATCATGGCTCCTGCCAAAACAACAAACCCTCTCCGAGCAGCCAGACTAGTTTCTGCCCACCGGGATTCTACCCCTATCATTGAAACCTTCAATAGCTTCTCCCAGCATCATGTTAGCCAGCATGCTACTGCTGGAAGCATCTCAGAACTCCTGAGACATCAACATCCAGAAACCCCTACATGGACTCCAGCCTTGGCCCCTCTGGGCAAAGGAGATCCAGATGACAATGACAATGATGATAATGATGATGATACCCCTGGCAG